TCATATTTCTAAGCCAATCCCAATTTTTTATAGAAAGGAGTTTGAAAAAAATGAGTGATGGAAAGAGGCATAAAATTTGAGAGGTGTGATTAGTAGGCAATTCTATTTTGTTAGATGCCATAGTTGGTACTCCAGCACTTTGGATGTATGAATTTTCCAGATGGGTAAAATTTAATTATTTAAGCATCAAAAATATTGTCTTTTAATATTTTCTTTTAAATCTTGTTTCCATAACTTCTCAAAGAGTAGTTATGGAAGCATGATTTAACATTTTCCTTGTAATTGGGTTCATATTTTGATAACTGTCATTGTACTTTGATGAGGATTTAAATGTAAAATATGAAACAAAATGCCTTCTGATAATGACTGGATCTTGCATTGTTGAAAAAGCCCCTAATATTTTTTTGCTTTTGGATTATTTCCCTAACTTTATAAAAGGTAAAATATGGAATGTACAACCACAGTTGTGTAATGTGGCTGCTCTTCCATAAAATGGATCATTGATTCACAAATGGTCCCTTAACTAGGAAGCCTTCTTCGGTGTTGCTGTGGTAGCTTTAGTTCTTAATGATTTTAAAACTCTGATGAATGACAAATACTTATTAGCTGTCACACATTCCCTTGCTATTCATTATTTGTTGAGGAAAGTACAGAGAAACTGTATCCCTTCCCACTTAAGTAGTCTGGGCTGGATTACTTTCAAAGAATATAAATTCATTATCTTTTGCAAACAAGACGTCAGGCTAAACTTTTCTTTAGACCTTTAATATTTGTCTTGAAATGAAATACCAAGATTAAGCAACATCCAAAATTATATCAAATGTATAAGAAAACCCTGTTCTTGTATGGTAGGTTTACTTCCTTATAAATCTCTTTAAATGGAAACTCAACTGCTTAAAATGTATAATTTAGGAGCCTTTTGGCTAGGGGCAGAGTATGCTCCAGAGCAGATTTAGCTCCAGTGATCACCATCAGATGGTTATTTCCAATTCAGCCATTATTGTTATTTGTAGCATGTATGTTTTATATATATAGTTTTGAGGTGTTTTATAAATATTACAAACCCCATCTTGTCCCCAAAAGCAGTACTAGTGATAGATTGATGGACACAAAAGTAGAAATAGTGTAAAAAATTAAAAATGAGAAAATTACACATGGTAGATATATGATTAGACCATAAGAATGATTATGAAGCATAATTCCATGAAAAAAGATATACCTGTGCAGTTTATAGCCAAAGGTGAAGAAATGTGAGTGAAACGGTTTTGGCAGAGGACCATTGTTGAAGTGGGATGCCTATTTAGGCAAAGATTCAGTTAGGAGTTAGTTAGGAGTTAGGAGTTCAAGAGTTGAAAGGCTAAGCATGGTGAATGCAAGTGCTGTTGTGGAAAATTATCAAAAACCGCAGATGGCACCATGGGTTCACCATTTTTCTTAATCTTCAGGTGAAGCTCTGGTGTGGATGCCTTAGCTGCCAGAGGTTCACTCCCTTCTCCTGTTAGTAGAGATTGTGGCAGGGAGGGGTTGTCTACCTCAGTGAATGTTCATTATAAACATAACAGGGCAGTTTTTAAAAATACTTAAAATATATCAGTTAGGAGGCAATGTGGAACCCATACGCCTAAATCTCACTCATGGTTTTGGGCTTTTAAACGAATGGATTCAATAGCCTTTTGGAATCCAACTTGTTTGTAAGTAGAGCTGCCCTTATGTATTTCATATTCTGAAAACCCTACCAATCTTTTTTTTTTTTTTTAAGATGTATTTATTTGAGAGAGAGCAAGAGAGAGCAGGGAGGAGGACAGGGAGAGAGAATTTCAAGAGGCTGCTGTGTTGATCACAGAGGCCAACATGGAGCTGAACTCATGACCCTGACCTGAGTGGAAGCCAAAAGTTGGACGCTTAACCGACTGTACTACCCAGGTGCCCCAACCCTACTCATCTTTAATCTAAAAAAGATCACTAAAGAAGAGGGACAAAGTATTTGCTGGGTACAATGCACAATTTCTCTTTCCTAAGGGTGAATCCTACAACTGCTGATAGGACACTGGTGCTGAATATAGCCAGTGTAATATACTAGGGCACATCAGTGCACCTGTACCTGGTGTTGATATGTACTCTCTGCCTTTTTTTTTTTTTTTTAAGATTTTATTTATTCATGAGAGGGAGAGAGAGAGGCAGAGACACAGGCAGAGGGAGAAGCAGGCTCCATGCAGGAGCCTGACGTGAGACTGGATCCCGGGTCTCCCAGATCACACCCTGGGCTGAAGGCAGCACTAAATCACCCGGGCTGCCCCTGGTCTCTGCCTTTGTAAGCTCTGCTGCTCACTCCTCAGGTTGCAATTTGGTGGTGACACCCTCCCCTTTCTTTCAACTCTTAACTCTAAAACCATCATATTTTCTTTTTGTGGTTTAATACCTGGTTTTAAAATTATTGGGTTTTTAGTAAATCTTATCTTTGATGTACCTAGACAATATTAAAATTAGTCTCTATCTTTGTCAAAAATCTATTATTTAATCTAGAAACATAGTAGTTTTTAAATTATACATGTTATCTTTTGACTGGATTAGGGTTGTCACTGCCTAAAAGAGCTCCTGCTGATGGTGATTGGCACTGTTCCCACTTCATGCAGATGAGCAGACAATATCTACTTTAAATTAATCTCCAAAGTTTTATTTGTACAATAACGTTTTAAGATATATTTCTAATTTAAATGTTTGTTAAATCTTTATGTTTACTTTAATTCTAGGCTCTGTGCTTATATTAAGATGAAGTTTCTCTGAATTGTTTTAGCCTTTTCTATAAGGCTGTTTTGGCCAGAGTATCAGTTTTAAGAAATTAGTAAGATTTTTTTTTAAGGCACAGGGCCTATATTTTGGCACACACTGTTGACCATTTTGTTTCCATGGCTAGGCTAAACTAAGCCCTTAGCCATGTTGTTTTTGTTTTTTTTTTTCCAGCAATATTTCTTATTTCTATCAATGAAAGGTTTTGGTTGGTTTTTTTTTTCTTAAGTCTTATTCTTGTTTAAGTGAGTCACTTGGCTGTTTTACTTTATTTTCTCCTAAGTGTGCATGAATTACAGAGGCTGGCTTCTTGTTAAATAATGCATGCTTGGTTGATTGGAGAAAAGCAGTGAAGTTCCTGAAAAGAGTGAATAAAGATCCAGCATAGAAAATAGTTGCTGCTGAAGGAAGTACTAGAATATGTTGTACAAACTGGGAAGGGCACTGAAAATGTGATGTTTGTGCTTGCCAGAGTTTGCCAGCAGTTTCTACCACATTTAGGACTCTGACTTTGCAAGCTTTCTATTTTATTCATACATCAGAGAAATAGAAAAATGATTAATGGCATTAAACTAACATTACTTACTTATTACAGGGCAGGAAGTAAATGGGATTTTTTTTGGGGGGGAGTGATTTCTTATGTTAAGAGAAGATGCCATTAAGTGGTCAAGAGTAGGGTTTACACTGTTCCCAACTTTGTATAAGGCACAGTAACAGTAATGATAATTAATACTATTTGATGATGATAAAAATAATAACTAATATTTGCATAGCATTTACTGTAATCTAAGAGCATTGTTCTAAGAGCTTTACATGTATTAACTCGTGTAATTCCCTCAATGACCCTCTGAGATAGGTGTTCCAATTATCTTCTCATAATCCGCTTAATCCTCATAGCAACCAAATAAGTAGACCTTGTTATTAGGCCTGTTTTACACATAAAAAACTGAGATTAAGTAATTTGTCCAAAGTCAGACAGCTAGTAAGTGATGGAATTGGAATTCAAACAGAGACAGTCTAGCTCCTAGATCCATGTTCTTAACCACTCTATAGGCTGAATAATAGCTGTCGAAGAAACTCAGATCCTAATCCCCTGGAACCTATGAATATTTCCTTATATGTCATAAGGGATTTTGCAAAAGGGACTGAATTAAGGATTTTGAGATGGGGTTAATCCTGGATTATCTCGTTGGGCCTTAAATGTAATCATAGATGTCCTTACATGAGGGAGGTAGAGGGAGATTTGGCAGAAGGTTGTGTAACAATGGAAACAGAAAGATTTGAAGATGCTGAGTTATTGCTTTGAAGATGGAAGAAGGGGCCCTGAGCCAAGGAATGCAGTTTTAGAAGCTAGAAGAGACAAGAAAATGGATTCTTCCCCAGAGCCTTCAGAGGAAGCACAGTCCTGCCACCTTGGTTTGGGGCCATTGAAACCACTTCATCCTTTGATGTCTAGAACTGTAAGATAATGGATTGGTTTAGTGGTTTGAACCGCTAAATGTGGTAATTTGTTGTTGCTGTAGCAATAGGCAACTAATAACAGCTATTATGCTAAGAATAAAAGTAGTAGTTATAATTAAGGCTTTTATTATAACAACCCTTCCCCAGAATCCATGAGGAAATGAGCTTCAGGAATAATCTTCAGTAGTCTTGCTTTATAAGGCACTTGTTACTTTATTGCTTAGTTCCTTTCTCTTTCCATATGAAGACTATTCAATCTGCAGACTACATCTATTACATACTCAAACAGGGTAGCTATTCTGAGCTCAGAGTTGGCTGTTGAGCCAGAAATTTAAGAAATATTGGGCAGGAGACATCATCTTTTCTTCAGGCCCAAACAAAAGGGGAACGCTGAAGGGAATAAGCATGTATGTCAGGTACCAAACTAGGAATTTGTATTTCTTATTTAGTTCTCATACCTGACCATCCCTATGAAGAATAGTTAATTATCGCCTTCACAATGAGGAACTATTAAATAATAATACTCAGAGTCAGAAACCCAGTAGATAAGATGAAAATTCAGGCTCGTCTAATGCCAAGGTGCATACATTTTTTTATACTCAGCACTGGCTACTCTATATTAATCGTATTGAGGGGCTCAGATCTAGACCAGGGTATATCCAAAGGGTTTACGTAGTTCTAAAGAGTCACTGGGAAGAACATATCATTTACAGATCATCCCTGACCTGGTGCACACCCTTTATGTTCGGCAGGTTCTTGGATTACCCTGGAGGTCTGGATTCTTCCTGCCTGACTCTGAAGGTAGACTTAGTTTTATATTCAAGTTGGTTTTCTTTATTCTTATATTTAAGAGTTAAGACTAAACAATGAACAGTACCTCTAAAACTAATTAAAAAGCAATCCTCTAGAGTAAAGATCTGGAATCCATAGTTGAAACTTATATAGTTTATTTTTCTGTTTCTGTGTGATACATGTAAATTAAAAAAAAAAACAGAAAAAATACAAGTGCTAATGTAAATATTAAAGATTAAACCAGCTAGTGGGTAATGTCCCAAGGTTATCATTAGAGTATCACAGTGGTCTTTGATTAAAATATGGTAAAGTGCCATAGTTCTGTTTAAAAAACTAATTTGGACCAGTATGAGAGGCACTTTGCTTCTATTCTCTCCCTTTTCATTCCCCTCCTCCTCCCTCTCTTCTTCCTTCTTTATCTTCCTCTCCTCTACTTTCTTTACAAGCAAATTTGTAACTTCTGACAGATGGTTATTTGATGCTTGAATTATTTTACTATTAGATCAGGAGTTGGCAAACTTTTTCTGTAAAGGGTCAGATAGTAAATATGTTAGGCTTTGCCTGACTGTAATCTCTCAGCCATTGTAGCATGGAAACAACCAAATTGATCATATATGAACCAATGAGTCTGGCTGTGTTCCAGTAAAACTTCATTTGTGACTACTGAAATTTGAATTTCATATAATTGTCACATATTATGTAACATTTTAACTTAGATTTTTTTGCAACTATTTAAAAATACAAAAACTCTTCTAGGCTCACAGGTCATACAGAAACAGGTGGCAGGCCAAATTCAGCTTTCAGGCAGCAGTTTGCTGACTGTGCTCTAGGCCTATTTTACACTAATATGTTTATTCTTTTTTTTTTAAACATTATTTATTCATAGAGACACACACACACAGAGAGAGAGAGAGGCAGAGACACAGGCAGAGGGAGAAGCAGGCTCCATGCAGAGAGCCTGATATGGGACTCGATCCTGGGTCTCCAGGATCACGCCCTGGGCTGCAGGCGGAGCTAAACCACTGTGCCAAGGGGGCTGCCCTAGTATGTTTATTCTTATATTCGTATTGTCATTCTATTTTTTATTTTTTATTTTTTTAAATTTTTATTTATTTATGATAGTCGCACAGAGAGAGAGAGAGAGGCAGAGACATAGGCAGAGGGAGAAGCAGGCTCCATGCACCGGGAGCCCGACGTGGGATTCGATCCCGGGTCTCCAGGATCGCGCCCTGGGCCACAGGCAGGTGCCAAACCGCTGCGCCACCCAGGGATCCCGCCATTCTGTTTTTTAAAATAAACTGCTGGGCTTATAATCTGTAAATCTGGGTCTCTGGAGTAGTATAATTTAAAAGACCTTGGTAAAGATCATATGTGACATAAAAACTTATGCAGGGGATGCTTTTGGTTGCTTACTCAAGGATCATCGGCTTCCTCACTTTTTTGACGGCAGAACCCTTAGTTGACATTTTGTTCCAATAGCTGGTGGTCATAAACTTCAGGTTGCTTTCCTCTTCCTCCCAATTTCCAGGGGTGGGCAGATAAATCTTTACTGGTTTGATCCAATTTTAATTCTGTTCCCCTTGAGGGATTGATTTAGGAATGGCAATTTGGACAATAAGGTACATAAGGAAGAATTCAGTTATGAAGTGAAGAATCTACTTCATAAGGAAGTAGATTGATCTTAGATATGAAGATGAATTTTTGACAACTGGAGTTAAAGTACCTCAACAAATACTGCTGCATGAGCTAGTGCAGATTGCTGTTTTGACAGACATATTTCAAGAAAACAGTTATATGTAAAACAATTTTTAAAGTTTTTATATTTTAATTAACATGCAGTATGATACTAGTTTCATGTGTACAATATAGTGATTCAACACTTCCATACACCTGGTGTTCATTATTAGTGCACTCCTTAATCCCCATCACCTAATTAACCCATCCTCCCACCCACCTCCATTCTGTTGGGTTTGTTCTCTATAGTTAAGAATCTGTGGGGATCCCTGGGTGGCTCAGCGGTTTAGCACCACCTTCGGCCCATGGCATGATCCTGGAGACCTAGCATCCAGTCCCATGTCAGGCTCCCTGCATGGAACCTGCTTTTCCCTCTGCCTATGTCTCTGCCTCTCTCTCTGTGTGTCTCTCATTAACAAATAAATAAAATCTTTAAACAATAAATAAAATAAAATTTTCTGAATTCAAATATAGAAAAATTAATTTTTGTTATGTCAGCATAATATTATAAACTCCATTTTTGAGAAGAACTATTGTATATTCCATTATGTCTTTTTTCCTTACAAAATGTATTTTTCCAAGAAAAGGCAATCCAATCCAATGCCAATAACCACAGAAGTTTTTGAAATTCTATTGTCGTGTAAACCTGAAAGGTGGTATTGGAAATCCTGGTCTGTATTTAGTAAACTCCATTCTCATCATTTCACTTTCTGACTCCTCGCAGCCTAGCTTTGGGCCTAACTTCTTGGTTGAATTGGTTTCTAGAAGGTTAATATTGATTTTTATGGTCCTAGTACCCCTTTTTTAAACCAAATCTGTCCTTTGCCTTTTCTGTAATGTTTAATTCTGTTGTCCATTTCACCTCTTAAACTCTCTTCACTAGTGTTTACTAACACTGCTTTGTTCTACCTCAGTGACCATTTTTCATCTGCTTTTAAATGCCTTTGTTTTGTTCCTTTCCATTTCTTAGGGGTAACTCTTGTAAAACACTGAATGTTTACAATGCCTATAAATAGTATGCATGAGAATGAATTAGCCATAAATAGAAGCTGCAATTTGCTAAGTAGAGACTATTTGGTAGAGACTGTCTTTTGATATAAAGCCAGGCTTATACTTAGTATTGAACAGTTTTCTTAACTGATAACAATTTTTTTCAAGTATACACATACTTGTGCCTATATTTTGTCATATACTTTGTGAGTATATCCCTATTATAAATCCCTAGTGGTAGAATTGTTGAATTATGGTGTATGTGCACTTAAAAATTTAGTAGACATTGCCAACTAGCCTTTCAAAAAGCTTGTACCAGTTTGTACTTTTTATCAACAGTATGAGTGCTGCTTCTCTATCCTGTCTTACTGAATATTATCAAATTATACTGGGCTTTACAGTGAGTGTGTCCAGGCATCACAAATGTGCCAAGACCTGAGGGTTCAAAGGTCTGTGCTGTTGGAGAAAGCTGAAGCTGCCCCAAAACAATTATTGAACCCTCTCCAACAAGGGATATAATAAAACAGTGTTTGCTAATCTAATACGTGAAAAATAATTTCTTTACATTTTTATCTGTTAGTTATAAATGAGGTTGAGCACCTTTTTATATCAGTGGTTTTCACCTGGCAGTGATTTTGCCTACCAGGGGACATTTGGCAATGTCTGGAGACATTTTTGGTTTTAAAACTGGGAGAGGGTCTGGTGAGAAAATTCTGCTGACATACTGCTAAAAATCCTGCAAGGCACATGACAAAGCATTATCCCCAAATATCAGTAGTGCCAGAGTTGAGAAACTATATTATTCCATATCATCTCCTTTGTCAGTTTATTGTCTGTAATTCTTGAGTTATTTTATTGGCTACTTTATGGTTTATAGTATACATCTTTAACTTATTGCTGTTTACCTTCAACAGATATTTTACTATTTCATGTATAATATAAAAGCCTTATAATAGTATATTTCCATTTTTCTCCTCCTCACCTTTGTGCAAGTATTGTAATATATTTTACTTCTTCGTATGTTATAGACCTCATGTCTATATTATTTTACTTTAAACAGTTGATTATCTTTAAATTTTTTTAACATTATTAGAATGTATTAGTAGATTGCATCTATTTCAAGTGAACAATTTGACATGTGTATATAATTGTGAAACCACCACCACACATCACAATAATGAACATATTCATCATGCTCCAAACTTTTCTCCTGTTCTTCGCTAATCCTTTCCCCAGTCCCAGGCAGCCACTGATCTACTTTTTGTTACTTTAGATAGGTGTACATTTTTTAAAATTTTATGTAAAAAAAATTATGTAAATGCAATAATAAACTGTATATTTTCTTCTTGACTCATTTCTTTTATCCAGCATAATTATTTTGAGATTCATCCATGTTGTATGTTACATCACTAGGAAAGCATTCTCAGTGACAGAGATTCCAGGTAATTGGACTGCCATTATAAAAGAGCATACTGAATTCTAAAGTCACTTAATGTGTTCTTTGTTTTAGGTCATGACTCTCCAGGTATGATAATCACATGAGAGCACTCATTGCTGCAGATGTCATTTGACTCATCAGAAAAAAGCTGTTTAAAAGAAAATATCTATGACCAGATCCATTTCGTTATTAAATGGCTTGATGGATTTCCTTTACTCTGAATCATACCAAAGCCGTCCTTGTCAACCAAAGCAAGAAAGGATCCTGCATGAGTCAATCACAGAATGCCATTTTTACATCACCAACAGGTGAAGAAAACCTCATGAATATCAATCACAGAGACTCAGAAAGTATCACTGGTGAGTCCAGTTTGATAAATATTGAAGTGCTATTCCTAGTGTATAAGATCTGCCACATTGAAACCCTGGCCTCACTTTCCAGCCTGATCTCCTGAGAGACCAACTGAATCAGTCTTTCCTTCTCCTGGTCTCTTACTGAATTATCAAAATCTGCCTTTTGTGTTGTATGTTGTCCATGTCGGATTCTCCTGTACCGCATGAGCCCTGGTCAGCAGGAACCACATCATACTTCCCTTCCCCTTTTGTCTTTCTACTCATATCTTCCACAAAGACAGAGTTGCTTACCCTGCAAACACATGACAACAGTTCATGACATTTAAGAAGCTCTCAGGACCTATAGATTGGTTATTCAAACACAGGTACAGGCCTACAAGCCCTTATCTGTAAGACCAAATCAAAAAACTCTGAACAACCCAGAGTTTTAACTTTGGCTATAAAATTCATTGGTCCACAAAACCTGACCTATATAGCTATTTCTAGACTTAGCCTCACTTAGTGTGAATGTTTGTTTGCTGAAAATGTACTAATGTATTTAAATATGGGATGTTGCTACAAAACCAAATGTAGTTGTTATATATCATACAGTATACACATAGCAGTATTGTTCTAAACTCCAAAAAATTCTGAAATCTATCCAAACCGAAAGTTTTTTCCACTTTTTAATTCAGCTTTATTGTAATCTCTTTATTAAGATAAAGTATGACCATTTTAAGTGCACAGTTTGGCTTTGACAATATATACACTCATGTAACTACTGGTACAATCAAGTTGTAGAACATTTTATTGCCCTCCCAGAAATTCCTTTGTACCCAGAGCCCCCTTCTCTCAACCACTGGCCCCTGACAACCATTGATCAGCTCTCTGTCACAATAGATAAAATTTGCTTGTTCTAGAATTTAATATAAATTAGTCTGTGTCTTTTATGTCTGGCTTTTTTTTTGTGCAGCAAAATGTTTTTGAGATTTATCCACATTGCAGCATGTATCAGTAATTCAATCATTTTCATTGCTGAATTGCTACAATTCAGTTCTGATGTTATAGCAGAAAAACACTCATAGACAATACATAAAAAAACAAATGTGATTGTGTCCAATAAAACTTGATTTACAAAATCGGGCAGAGGCAGCAGGCTAGAGCCTGCTTTGCTGACCTCTGTTCTGCAGCATCAACACTTGGTAATGTTAGTGTTTTTGATCACAGCCATTCTAGTAGGTATATACTGGTATCTCTTTGTGGGTTTAATTTATTTTTCCCCATGACTAATGATGTTGAGCATCTATCTATTCATGTGCTTATTGGCCATTTCTGGATCTTATTTTTAGTTGTCTGTTCAAATCATTTGCCCATTGTAAAATTTTTCTTACCATTGAATTGTAAATGTATTTAGAAATAAGTCCTTTGTTAGACTTATGGGTTGCAAATGTTTCTCCTATACGGGCTTGCCTTTTCATCTTTGCTGTTGTTTTTAAGTAATCTCCACAACCAATGTAGGGCTCAAACTCACAACCCCAAGGATCAAGAGTCCTGTGCTCTGCTGGCTGAGCCAGCCAGATACTGATGCCTTTTGAAGGGCAAAAGTTTTAAATTTTGGTGGAGTCTAGTTATTGATTTTTGTTTTTATAATAGTTTAGTTTTTTTGTGTTGCTTCTAAAAAATCTTCACATACTTCAGGATCACAAAGATATTCTCCTTTGTTGTCCTTTAAAAATTTTATAGCTTTTTTCAAGGAGGGGGGTGGAGGGGAGGGGCAGAGGGATAGACTGAGAGAATCTTAAGAAGGCTCCATGTTTAACACAGAACCCAATGTGGGGATTGATCTCACGACCCTGAGATCATGATCTGATCGAAATCAAGAGTCAGACACTTAAAAAAAAAAAAAAAAAAAGGATCCCTGGGTGTCGCAGCGGTTTGGCACCTGCCTTTGGCCCAGGGCGCGATCCTGGAGACCCGGGATCGAATCCCACGTCAGGCTCCCGGTGCATGGAGCCTGCTTCTCCCTCTGCCTGTGTCTCCGCCTCTCTCTCTCTCTCTGTATGACTATCGTAAATAAATAAATAAATAATTAAAAAAAAAAAAAGAGTCAGACACTTAATTGACTGAGCCACCCAGGCAGCCCAGCTTAGTTTCATTAGCTTTCTTATAGATTCCTTAGAATTTCCTTTGTAAATCATAATGTCTACAAATGGAGACAGTTTTACATGTCTGTTCCTTTTCATTTTAGATGTGTTTTCTTTCTTTTCCTTGCCTTTTTGAATAGTACAAGATCTCAGTATATTTTTTTAATAAAAATGAGAACAAACATCCTTGCCATATTTCCAATATTAGAGAAAAGTTACAGTCTCACCATTAATTTTCTTTAGAATGGCCTTTTTCAAATTAGGGGGTTGTTTTTCTTCTCCCAGTTGGATAAGAGATTTTTGTCATGAATGGATGTTGAATTTTGTCAAATGCCTGTTCTCCACTACTGAGATGGTTTCTCTTTCTTAGTCTGTTAATGGTGAATTCTATTGACTTTTTGATTTTTACTACTTTTGAATTTTTAAACCAACTTTGTGGGGAAACCCCCCTTGGCCATGATGTATTATCCTTCTGATAGATTATGGATTTGTTGTATTAATGTTTTGTGTGTATGCGTTGTGCCCCATTTATGAAAACTATTGGCTTGTACTTTTTTTTGCATGTCTTTGTTTTGGTATTGGAATAATGCTGGCCTCATAAAATGATTTGTAAAATATTCCTGCCTCTATTTTTGAAAAGAGTTTGTATAGAATTAGTATGATAGCATTTTTCATCCTTTTACCTTTAACTTACCTAAATATTTAAAGGACATCTATAGAGAGCTTATAGTTAGATCTTGTTTTTTTAAAATTCACTCTGAAAATCTCTACTTTATAATTGGTGTGTCTAGATGATTTGCACTTTTTTAAAGATTTCATTTATTTATTTGAGAGAGAGCAAGTGAGAGTATGAGGGCTGGTGGAGAAGGAGAGGGAGAAGCAGACTCCCTGCTGAGCAGGGAGCCCAATGAGGGGCTGGATCCCAGGATCTTGGGGTCATGACTTAAACTGAAGATGGCCGATTAACCAGCTGAGCCACCCAGGCACCCCTAGACAATTTATATTTGATATAATTATAAATTTGGTTGAGTCAGTAAATTCTGTACTACTATTTATTTTCTCTTTGTTCCACTTAATGTTTTTTTTTTTCTTTTTTCCTGAGTTTTGGGTATTCATTTTCTTTTTTGTTTAGGATTCCATTTTAATCCCACTATTGACTTGAGTAGGTACATTTCTCATTTTTCTAAGTGGTTGCTCTGTGTTTGCAATATGCGTTATTAACTTACTGCAGTACATCCTCAAATAACATTATACTATTTCATAAAATGATATCCTTACAATAATAATCTTCTCTTTCCCTCATCGTTCTATATATTGTTGTTATGTCTTTTACATTTACAAGTTATATACATAATTACGGTTTTTACTCTAAACATTTATAAATTGAATAAATTGTGAGAATAAAAGTCATATATTTACATACAGATTTACCAGTTCTGTCAGTTTTTATCTCTTTTTGTAGAGTGAACTCTGCATTTTGTGTCCTTTTTGCCTGAGGAAGTTTAATATTTCTTGTACTATAGGTCAGCTGGCAATATGCTTGTCTGAAAAAAGTCTTTTTTCACCTTTAATGAAAGCTGTTTTCAATGGTATAGAGTTCTGTGATGACTTTTTATATATTTTAATAGCATTCTATTGTCATCTATTTTGCATTGCTTCTGATGAGTTTATTCTTGTCTTTGTTCACTCAAATGTAATGTTTCCTTTGTCTTTCTCTCTGCTTTTTACATATTCTCTTGGGTTTTCTTTGTGTTATCCTGCTTAGAGTAGAGCTTCTTTGAACTATGGATTTATAGTTTTAATTAAATTTGCAAGATTTCAGCCATTATTCCTTCAAATAATCTTTTAGCTCTGTCTCTCTCCTCTTTTGTGGCTCCAATTGCATATACATTAGACTGTTTGATACAGAAATCACTGATGACCTGTTCATTTTTTTCCCCAGTTTTTTTTCTTTATGCTTCATTTTAGATAGTTTCCATTACTATGTCTTCATGTCTACTGCTGTTTTTTTCTTCTGGAGAATGTCTAATCTGTTAATGTTATCCAGTGAGTTTTTCAATTTAGATATTGTACTCTACTTCTACTTGGGTTTTATAAAGATTGATATAGCTTCTGTTCTCTTTTCATCAAGTTTATGTTTTCCTTTTCAATCCTTGAACATATTAATAATAGCTGTTTTTAAGTTGTTTACTTTGTCATTATTGGGCCTATTCCTATTGACTCATTTTACTACTGGTAATGGATTACAATTCGCTTATTCTTTGCATATTTAGTAAATGCTGAATATTTTGAATGTCACATTGTTAGATATTTAGATTTTTTTGTCTTCCTTGGAAGACTTAAAATCTGTTCTGACAGATCTTTAAGTTACTTGCTAATAAGGTCCATCCTTTTGAGCCTTATTTTTAATCTTTGTAATGGAGTTCTCTAGGTCACACTTTAGATCATACTGTACTATGCTTTCTTCTAGCATTAATTTAATCCTGCTAAGAGAAGCCATGACCTTTCTAAGATGTTTACTAATTATCCCAAATATTCATAAAGTTTTTATCCAATGGCTAGATGAAATTCAGACCTCTGTTAGTCTTGTATAGGAGAGTGACATAATGTAGATGTGAAGAAGTAGAGGAAAATTTGAGTGTAATGAGGCCAGACAAATTTTGAGGCTCTTCAAGAGAAGCAAGAGGAATCCTTGAATCTAAATAGACACAATGTAGCTAAAAAGAAGTAGACATATGGAGGAAACATTTGGAAGTTAAAAAGTCATCAAGGAAGTTGTTAAGACTGGATAATCAGGAGAGTAGTAAATAGTACATTATCAAAAATACAAAAGCAAATAGAAGGAGCTAGTCAAGGATATTTAATCTATTAAACCTTAAGTGTATATGTGTTTTTAAAAGTAACTTTGTGAGTAGGGAATTGGTAACCTTGAATTTTCTCAGAATTTCATTAATGCATCTTAAAAGACAATTTCTAATTTACGTGGTTAGCAATTTTGTTAAACAAACATATTGTGGGGTGAAGAGGAGTTGATAGGGAGAGAAACCACAATAAAGATTTTTCCCCTAACGTCAAGAACATGGCAAGGATGTCCACTATCACACCACTGCTGTTCAACAAAGTACTAGAAGTCTTAGCCTCAACAATCAGACAACAAAAAGAAAAAAAGGCATCCATATCAGCAAAGAAGTCAAACTCACTCTTTGCAGATGACATGACACTGTATATGGGAAACCCAAAAGACTCCACCCCAAAACTGCTAGAACTCACATAGCAATTCAATAAAATGGCAGGATATAAAATCAATGCTCAGAAATCAGTTGCATTTCTGTACACTAACAATGAGACTGAAGAAAGAAAAATTTAGGAGTCAGTCCCACTTACAATTGCACCAAAAACCATAAGATACCTAGAAATAAACCTAACTAAAGACGCAAAGGATCTGTATGCAGAAAACTGTAGAACATTCATAAAAGAAATTGAGGAAGACACAAAGAAATGGAAAAACATTCCATGCTCATGGGCTGGAAGAACAAATAATGTTAAAACATCTGTGCTACCTAGAGCAATCTATACATTCAATACAATCCCTATCAAAATACCATCAACTTATTTCACAGAGTTGTAATAAATAATCCTAAAATTTGTATGGAACCAGAAAAGACCCCAAATAGCCAAAGGAATGTTGAAAAAGAAAACCAAAACTGAGAGCATCACAATTCCGGACTTCAAGCTCTATTGAAGTGCATGGTACTGGCACAAAGACAGACACATAGATCAGTGGGACAGAATAGGGAACCCAGAAATGGATCCTCAACTCTATGGTCAACTAATCTTCAACAAAGCAGGAAAGAATATCCAATGGAAGAAAGACAGTTTCTTCGAACAAATGATGCTGGGAAAATTGGAGAGCTGCATGCAGAAGAAGGAAACTGGACCAGTTCCCTACCCCATATACAAAAATAGACTCAAAATGGATAAAAGACCTAAATTTGAGACAGAAGTTTGTCAGAATCCTAGAGGAGAACACAGGCAACAACTGCTTTGACCTCAGCCACAACAAATTCTTGTTAGACATGTTTCCAAAGGCAAGGGAAGCAAAGACAAAAATGAACTATTAGGACTTAATCAAGATGAAAACTTTTTTTTTTAAGATGAAAACTTTTGCACAGCAAAGGAAACAGTCAACAAAACCAAAAGACAACTGACACAAGAGAAGATATTTGCAGTGACATATCAGATAAAGGACTAGTATTGAAAATCTATAAAGAATTTACCAAACTCAACACCCAAAGAACAAATAATCCAATCAAGAAATGAGCAGAAGACAGGAGCAGATGTTCTTCCAAAGAAGGCATACAAATGGCCAACAGATAAATGAAAAAATGCTCGACCTCACTTGGCATCAAGGAAATACAAATCAAAACCACAGAGATAGTACCTCACACCAACCAGAATGGCCAGAATGAACAAGTCAGGGAACAACAGATGTTGTCAAGGATGTGGAGAAAGGGGGAACCTTCTTACACTGTTGGTGGGAATGTAAGCTGGTGTGGCCATTCTGGAAAACAGTATGGAGGTTCCTCAAAAAGTTGAAAATAGAGCTACCCTAAGATCCATTGTACTACTAGGTGTTTACCCCAAAAATATAAATACAGTGATCTGAAGGGGCACCTGAACCCCCATGTATATAGCAACAATGTCCACAAGAGCTCAGATGTCCATCAACAGATGAATGGATAAAGAAGATTTGGTGTGTATATATATATATGAAAGGGACTACTTCTCAGCCATTAAAAAAAAAAAAAGAAATCTTGTCATTTGCAATGACATGTATGGAACTAGAGGATATTATGCTGAGTGAAATAAGTCAATCAGAGAAAGACAGTTATCATATGATCTCACTCATATGTGGAATTTAAGAAATAAAACAGACGGGCACCTGAGTGGCTCAGTGGTTGAGCGTCTGCCTTTGGCTCAGGTGGTGATCCTGGGGTGCTGGGATCGAGTCCCACATCAGGCTCCCTGCATGGAGCCTGCCTCTCTCTCTGTGTGTCTCATGAATAAATAAATAAAATCTTTAAAAAAAAAAGAAATAAAACAGAGGATCATAGGGGAAGAGAGGAGAAAGTAAAACAAGACAAAATCAGAGGGGGAGACAAACCATAAGAGATTCTTCGTCATAGGAAACAAACAGGGTCATTGGAGGGGAGGGAATAGGGGGATGGGGTAAATGGGTGATGGACATTAGGGAGGGCATGTGATGTAATGAGCACTGGGTATTATATAAAACTGATAAATCACTGATCTCTATCTCTGAAATCAATAATGTATTATATGTTAATTAATTGAATTTAAATAAAATTTAAAAAATAAAATGTCATTTACACTAAAGATTTGTTAAGCAATTAAAATGAAAGAGGTATCCTCTAAAAAATAAAAGACAATTTCTAGGAAATAAAAATTCTTTTAATGGATGTTAAATTTTGTTGTTTCCTGAATTGCTCACAACCTATTTTTAGCTCTGCATGTATTTATAGTCAACTTCTTTTCTTCCAAGTATTACACTGACAATCTTGTATATGATATATTTATAGCAGGAAAAATTTGGATGATCACATGGAATTTGTAATAATAAATTTGGTTGTGTTTTTAGGGCTTTTAAAAAGACCTGCTAAAGTTTGAGAGCTTCTTTAGAACCATATTTAAGATTTTAAATGTACCTCATCTTTGTAATTATGAAGTCATTGCTTGTCCTGGGTAAATATGGGGGATGTGACATTGTCAGCTTAGTTGTATATGATTTAATAAAGTGTCATTGTTAAGGTCAAGTAGTAGAAATTTACTCTTTTAAGATATGGTTTTTAAAAATGAACTTTGTTGGGATGCCTGGGTGGCTCAGCGGTTTAGCTCCTGCCTTCAGCCCAGGGCATGATCCTGGAGTCTCGGGATCAGGTCCCACGTCGGGTTCCCTGCATGGAGCCTGCTTCTTCCTCTGCCTGTGTCTCTGCCTCTCCCTCTCTCTCTCTCTCTCTCTCTCTCTCTCTCTCTCTATATATATATATATATATATATATATATATATATATATATCTCGGTGTCTCTCATGAATAAATAAATCTTTTTTTTTTTTTAAAAGAACTTTGTTGTTCTTTGCCAGAGTTAGAATATGTTTCTTTGTACTACCCACAAAGGAAATACCAGATCTCTTTATAAAGTGTGAGGGTTGATATGACATCCTGTATTTTCTCTATTCTAAGCATGTCAAAAGGGTAAATTTACTTTTTTTGCAAACTGCTGAATTTGGGAAGTGTTAAATGATATGCAGTATTTGGAACAGGAAGCCAAGAGCAAACACGTAAAGCAGAAAAGCCAAGTGTGTTCAGAGATGTGTATGCAGGAGGTAGCCAGAGGTGTGTGGCTGAGAGGGTAGTGATGTGAAAGGTATTCAGGACTTCAAAGGTACCACATCTTCAAAATAAAAATGATAAAGTACTTATTCTAGTACTGGTGCTGGAACACTGTGCTGAAATGTTAACATTACTGGTTAACATTTAACCAATAAATGTTAATTTTTTATATCTAGCTACTGTGAGAATATACCAAAGTGCAATTTTTCCAAATTTTGAAGAATCCTCCCACAGAGTTCAAAATCTGTTATTAAAGAGTATGTTACTTTATTCCTTTTGAATTAACTATTTTCTGTTGGTTGCTTGGTGTTGCCTTTTTCCCCCAAGCATATACGTTATTTAAGGTCAGCTCTCTTTTAAGCAACACTAAATAGACTGATAAGGAGGAAATTTGTTCAAATTCATTTTAATTTTTAAAAACATAGTTATATTTATCAAGCAGTATATTTTTAGATTCATGGTATTATTTTCACTATAAAAGTTTTCATATTAAAGAAACAGGCCAACTATAGTATCAGTATATATTAATAAAAATGACTGGAGAAATTCTCCTGACTACCATTTCTATGGTTACCCTACTTTTGCAAACTAATTTCACTTGATGTTTCCTCTGTAGCCTAATAAATTGGAATATACTGGATTCATTTACATGGAATCTCCTTTTTAGATGTCTGCTCCAATGAGGATCTCCCTGAAGTTGAGTTGGTGAATCTGCTAGAAGAACAGCTGCCCCAGTATAAGCTAAGAGTAGACTCTCTCTTTTTATATGAAAATCAAGACTGGACTCGGTCCCCACACCAGCAGCATCATGCATCTGATGCCCTCTCTCCAGTCCTTGCTGAAGAGACTTTCCATTATATGAGTGAGTATTTTTTATCCTTTTAGAGTTTGTCCATTGAAATAAAGATCCTAAGTATCTTGGTGTCGACTTTTAAAGCATTTGGTATCCCTAGCTGTTTAGTGTATACGTACTTTAACTCAAACTGGTTTCATGACGCAAAGAGATGATCTGTGTTATGTCTAGATGCAGCCGGTTTGTCATTCTTATGACTCTGAGTGTTTGTGGTTGCAAGCAATACTCGGATGTTTCCATTTCTCCTTTCTTTTATTTAATACTTTTCTCAGACTAAGTAGAAAAAGGAACTTTAAAAAAAAAAGTAGTTGAAATTTTAAGTTAAAATTTTAATATCCCTTTATATCTTAAAACATGTATTATCCTAGTAGTTTGATATCTGGAACCATCGACTATCTTACTTTATTACATTTCCTATTAAACACAGTCACAGGAACTAGGTCAGTCATTTAGAAGCATGGTTTTTAGATACATAAATAGTTTTAATAATTAAAGTCTAGAGATCTTTTTGCTTTTGACCTCATTCCAAACATCTGTTTTCAGGCTGAGCTAACTTTTTTTTTTTATTCATTCACTATAAAAATGTGTGCATAGTAACTATTTGGATAGATAATACAAATCTGTAGGTTCAACATTGATGTTTGTAAAATTCTTTTCATTTGAATTATATATGACATTGCATCAGTTCCTAGACATTTTCCCAGTGAGTGCTTCAGTGTCTTTAATGATTGTTGTGAAATACTAATTTTAATAGTAATCCTTAACTTGCTTTTAATAGTAGGTTTCCTAGAAAGAGGTTACTTACTGTTCAGGGGGGGAAATTGTAAACATTGAATTGCAATATCAAGAAACCCAAATAAAACTGTTTCTGCCTCAATAATTCTTGTAAGTAGCTGAATATTAAATTAAAGCTCTTAAATTTGAAAGTTTTCTTAACTTTCAAATTTGAGAAGTTGCTTGCTTGAGATTTTCTGGGTTTTTTTTCCCATATCTCTTTGTTCTATGATTTTTAGATTTGTGAGAAGAAAATTCAAACTGAAATCTCATCAGGTTAAATTTATTAGTTCCTGTCATTATTTTGATACAGTGGCACAGGAAGTGCCCCTTTAGTTTACTTTTTCTTGTCATATATGCCACTAGAGGATAGAACTATAGCTAGAAAGCTATCTTAGATCATAATTTCATGGAGTTACTTTTGGAAGAATTTTAAGTAAAAATAAACTTCTTTTGAAAATAAATGATAATCAAATTCTAAAATATTTGGGTTTCAGGACTTTATACAAAAGTTCAAGGAAGCAATTTAAAACTTAAGATTAATAAGATGTTACAGATTCATACTTCCAGGGTCCAGAAAACTGTCCTATTCCTTTGGTCTAAAGGTACTATTTTCAACTTCAACAATTTGAAAATTGAACTCTATAAGATATACTTAAGATCATGAAGCAAGTAAGCTAGGATTGATTATAATTGGTACACTAATGCTTAATCTCTGTATTGTACTTAAAATTTCAATGTCATTTTAAAGGTATCAATTCTTTGGTTAACAGTTCACTCAAATACAAATAAACTTTATTATGAATTTGCATCTTATGAATGTAAAAGATAAGTGATTTACTTTATTTAGCAAATTGATGAGTGTTTTAAAAGGCAAGATACAAAACATTCTCGGACCCTTTCCAACAGTTTTCTATCCTTTTGAGATGTCAGGACCTGTGGTTCTGAATGATTATTATGTACCCTGACAAGCCATCCTAGGGTTTAGCTCCCTGGTACTATTTCAGCCTCTTCTTATCCCTACTTCCCTCACATACCAGGAGATAGTCGTTCTCCTTAAAATGAATTTTTACAACTATTAAAAAGAGGTGGCACAGGCAGAGGCACTTTCTCTCTTACATAACACAAAGAAGTTGAAAGAGCTGTGAAAAGAAAAATAAATTTAGAAGGAAACATGGGCAGGGTTTTGGGTTGGGAGCCTACCTCCCATGGATGAAAGGATACCGGATATTCTCTGAAGCCCCCACCAAACCAGAAAGAGATGTTTACTTTTAAAATAGAACATTTGAGAGCAGTGGGTGGGTCAAAAAAAAATTCCATCCTACTCCCTGCCATATATAAAATTTAAGATATTCAAAGAAGAGATCATTTCAGGATTTTCTTAATTTTATTAAGATAGAAACCCAAGAATGAGCTGTGGGGTGAGCAATGCGGTCAGAGCACATCATAACAGAAGGTACCATTTGTTCGTGTAAAGGCTAAAAATAGAAGTCTGATCTGCCTTTCAGGGTATTTTTTTATTTGGGAATAAGGGATCGCCTGTACCCTTTATAAATGCATAAGAAAAAAGGGTCGGGGGTTGGAGGCAATGTTTATTTAGTCTCTTAAGTTTTAGTCTCTAAGTTTAGTTTCATCACTTGGGAACTTGTTAGAAATACAAATTCTTGGGCCTCCACCCCAGATCTACAGAATCAGAAATTCTGGGAGTGGAGCAGAGCAGTCCATGTTTTAACAAGTCCTACTGATACTGATGCACACTACGATCTGAGAATCATCAGTATAAAGCATTGTCAACCAAAGCTATATGGCCGTTCTTAGTGATGTTAATTGGAGAATTTAAGGAATTACAGAGGGTTTAAAATTTGGGAGAGAAATACAGTTATAGAAATAATTACTTCTGGTTATACTTTTCCTCAAAGTCTGCCCTCAAAAATTACTACTTTATACTGGCAGGAAAAGAAATATAACTGATGATGTTCAGAAAGCATCAACCATAAATCAGATCATGAGGTTAGCATTTTTATATTTCCTCTCAACCAATTACCCAAAATAATTAAGTTAGATACCCCAAGACATCTATTGAGTATTATCCATGGCAGAATTGAGAAAATTGTCTCACTCAAATCATTATGTGTAGGGCTTAATTCTCCCCAGGAGCAGCCCTGTTGAGGAAGGCCTGTCCTAGACAGTTTATATCATCAGACACCTTCTTTTTCTTCTCAGTTCTTTTGAAGGCAGTTTTTTATATTGCAGAAATATTCTCTATATTATAGCAGCAAGAGCAGCCATCACTTCTTTGGGGTTAAAGCTGTAAGACCTGTCTAGTTACCAGGAGCTCTTGTGGCTTTTACTATGCCACGTGGGTGGTGTGTGTTTTGGTTTGGGTTTTTGTTGCTTTGTTTTTGATTTTTTGCTGACAGAGTTGGAGAGATTAGAAGCCTTTTTCAATTTCAGTAATTGTAGTAAAAACTTGAGATCTTGAAAAGGGACACATAAGAGAACTATCAAGTACCATCCTATATAAATTACGGATATCAAAATGGATTAACATTGGCCCTTCCCATCCTGAAAAAATGTGAGATTGAGTTGCCGATATGAAACTATGCAGAATTAGAACTTAAAGTAAGAATTAGAAAGGATTTATGTATATTCTACCCCCCCACCCTGTATTTTTTCAGGAACATCAGATTCCCCAAATCTTACACCAAAAATGTTGAACATTAATTAACAACCTTTGAAAATCAACTTGCAAGGATTGTTCTGTAAAGATGTTTATCATCTCTCCTAATATATAAAAGATTTTTAAGAGTTAGGAGTTTTGAGTCTGTAAACAAGGGACAGGACACTGCTAATTTCTGTACTACATAACATTTTTATTTTAACAGCTGAGAACTGAAGGGAAAATAAGATTTGATAGAATTGATTATAATAGAATCAGTCTGCTTGGCTCTCCATTTGTGGTTACAGAATTACAGTGAAGAATTAGTCTCTCACTTTGGAAGCATTTAGTCACAATGCCTAAATGCCAAGAGAACATTTAAGAGCTTTGCCCTGAGTACTTTTGGAATCTTCCCAAGCAGCCTATCTGCCAGAATCACTGTTGAGGAAGAGAAGACAGAACTGATTAGACTGCAGAGAGAAATTCATTGCATTTTTATATGCTTTGTGACTGACACACATTGCTTGAGCTGCTCTGTGCAATTGAGGTGTCTCAGCCTTTGGGGCTCGGTAGCATATAGACTCTTTAACATAAAGCAAAACTGGAGAACTCTGGTTGCATTATCTAACTTCTTTGCCATAATATATCTTTAAGCATTTGAAAATTCATTTTTGCTTTTTGAAATCTCTGAAAAGAGCGGCTATTTTTCTAATGCAAAGATAACATTTATTCTTCTTGGAAAATAAGCAAAAGACTAAAAAGAAAACAAAAGATCAACTATAATCCCTGCCCAGAGATAACCACTATTAACATTTAAATGTGTATCCTTCCAGCCTCTCTCCTATATTTATATGTATAAGATATGCTCACGATTTTAAAACAAAACTGGGATCTGTGTTGTCCTATAACCTGCATTCACAGATGGATACTGGTTATTTCATCAGATAAAGGCCTTCTGATCTTGGTGGAACAGTGAAAGAAAGAGCAGAATGGTGCAAAGACCCTATTACTGAGAATGAGCAGCCCAAAGTTTTTATATGACCTTGTGAGATAGGAGTTCTTATCACCTCATTATTATCCTCACTATTGTTAGTTTCTCCTCACTAAAACATGTTTTATTCTAAACAGTTCTTTTCTGTATGATGGTGTCCTTTATTTTCTTTTCACTTCTTCATGCACAACTTGTAGCTCACAGCTCTTTATTACATTCTTAATTTACTGGTTACTTCAAAATAAATTTACCACTTCACCTTCAACTCTGGTTGATCCTGTAATATAAACTATGTTAATAATACATTGTTTCAATTAGTTTTATAAAAACAAACCGAGTCTCTAGGATTCCTGGTTCTTGCTTTGAGTGTTACCTCTGAATTGGTAGTTTCAATTGCTAGCTCCACACCAGAACACTTGGGCATCTTTTACTGTGTGTGCCCTGGGGTTCCTCCAAATCAATTAGTGTGTAGAGATGATATCCATCTCTTTTCTGCCTTTTGGCTAAAATCAGGTGTAGAGATGAGATCCACTACCTTAGGTAACACTTGGGTTTGTAACCATTGGGTGGTTTTCTGTAATTAATTTAGAACATAGATAGGATTTAATTTTTTTCTTTTGGTCTCATCTTATTGAGACTGGAAGTAGTGGAGACCTCACACTCTAAATAAATTGTGAAGATTCCTTTGGCCCAAAACCCTGTTTCCATTATCCCTCTGGTTAAATTACGGAGCCAGTTTTTCTACTTGTAAATATAAATCCTTTGGGGGTAAAAATGGTTTATCCAGATCTCTTTAGTTTTCCATCTCCTATTACTATCAGCTCAGCACTTTGTTTTACTTTTAGCTAGGAATAAGACTGTCGTTAATAATTAAGTTCTAGGTGATTCCCAGATTCATTTCAAGCATTTTTGCTAGGAAGAAAATAAAAAGCTCAAATAAAAGTAAAAAATGTCTCAGGGTGTCTTTTGGGTGACCTCAATGTTAAGATGGGACTAAGGAACTACAGGTGACTTAAATAATAATGTCTGCTGCCAGTACAGTGCATTATTTACAGAGAATTTTAAATCAGGGCTATTTCATACCTACCAGCTGTGTTTAAAGAATAGTGACTAAACAAACAATCAAAAAGAGTAGTGACTATAAACAGTTATATGACACTTAGCAATAAATACTGCTGATTAGAATTATCGTATTTCATCCTCCTAATGATCCTGTGAGATGAATGGTATCACCTCCGTATGATGGAATAGGAGTTTAAGAAGGGCTAAGTTCTCTCAAATTTGTAATTCAGCTTTTTTGCTTTAAAGCCTCTTAGTTTTTCACACTTCAGGGCAAACTAATAATAAAATCAATCTAAGTCAAACACAGATCCATTTTATGTTGTGTACTCTAACATTAAAAGATCCCTCTTTTAGTATGCATCATTAGCTTAAAAAGGTATTGCTTATTGTGACTGTGGAGTCATTAGGGTCATACGAGGCATTCTCTTTGGAGCTATATTATGCAGTGCATTGACAGTTCCTGAACTTAATGCAGAAATACTGGACTTAAATTATGCAAGTAATAGTATACAGTTTATCTTATAGAGAGGTCTAGATATGATGGAAATTTTCATAAAGGGTTTTTAATTAAGCAAAAGAAGATTATGCTTCATAACAGAACTGCAAAAGTCCTACAAGTCCGTTACTTATTTATTCATATTAGTTCATGTGATAGATGATCACAGATATTTAAGATAATTACAACAGAATTCTAATTAAATATATTTGTAATAGCATAATCCCTCATTAATTTGTCCCTCAGGAGTTTTAATTTAGGGCATAAAACAATTGGTGATTTAATCCATTCTTTAGGCCTGCAGTCTCTAGTGAGAGTACACCAAATTTCTAATCTTACAGAGGGAGGAGGAGATACTCAGGAAGTGGTTATCTTATGATCATTTGATAACTTTCTTAATTCACTGTATGATGTACATTTTGTTTGTAAGAATTGATCTATTTCATGAGTGTCTAATACATAAACATTTCTTCTTTCACATATATTTTTATTCTCCTGAATGGGATTTTGTAAAAGCCTGAGTTTGTTGCTAACTTGTAAATTTTATGAATATTTAAAAGTTTCTGTTATCTCTAAATACTATAAACAGTTGTTTTGAACTGTCTCAGTTCTAGGCACAGACAGGGTGGAGCAGATGACCAAAACTTACAATGATATCGACATGGTTACACACCTCCTGGCAGAGGTAAGAATATATCTTTTTTTCTCTAGTACAGAAAGCTAAACCTTGACAATCATTTAAAATCTATCAAGTAAACTCAAAATGGATGAAAGATTTAAATGTGAGACAAGACTCCATCAAAATCCTAGAGGAGAACACAGGCAACACCCTTTTTGAACTTGGCCACAGTAACTTCTTGCAAGATACATCCACGAAAGCAAAAGAAACAAAAGCAAAAATGAACTATTGGGACTTCATCAAGATAAGAAGCTTTTGCACAGCAAAGGATACAGTCAACAAAACTCAAAGACAACCTACAGAATGGGAGAAGATATTTGCAAATAACATATCAGATAAAGGGCTAGTTTCCAAAATCTATAAAGAACTTATTAAACTCAACACCAAAGAAACAAACAATCCAATCATGAAATGGGCAAAAGACATGAAGAGAAATCTCACAGAGGAAGACATAGACATGGCCAACATGCACATGAGAAAATGCTCTGCATCACTTGCCATCAGGGAAATACAAATCAAAACCACAATGAGATACCACCTCACACCAGTGAGAATGGGGAAAATTAACAAGGCAGGAAACAACAAATGTTGGAGAGGATGCGGAGAAAAGGGAACCCTCTTACACTGTTGGTGGGAATGTGAACTGGTGCAGCCACTCTGGAAAACTGTGTGGAGGTTCCTCAAAGAATTAAAAATAGACCTGCCCTACGACCCAGCAATTGCACTGTTAGGGATTTACCCCGAAGATTCAGATGCAATGAAACGCCGGGCACCTGCACCCCGATGTTTCTAGCAGCCATGTCCACAATAGCCAAACTGTGGAAGGAGCCTCGGTGCCCATCGAAAGATGAATGGATAAAGAAGATGTGGTTTATGTATACAATGGAATATTACTCAGCCATTAGAAACGACAAATACCCAACATTTGCTTCAACGTGGATGGAACTGGAGGGTATTATGCTGAGTGAAGTAAGTCAATCGGAGAAGGACAAACAGTGTATGTTCTCATTCATTTGGGGAATATGAATAATAGTGAAGGGGAATATAAGGGAAGGGAGAAGAAATGTGTGGGAGATATCAGAAAGGGAGATAGAACATAAAGACTTCTAACTCTGGGAAATGAACTAGGGGTGGTGGAAGGGGAGGAGGGCGGGGGGTGGGGGTGAATGGGTGACGGGCACAGAGGGGGACACTTGACGGGATGAGCACTGGGTGTTATTCTGTATGTTGGTAAATTGAACACCAATAAAAATTAATTTATTAAAAAAAATAAAATCTATCAAGTTTGTGCTCACTTCGACAGCACATATACTAAAATTGCAGTGATACAGAGAAGATTAGCATGGCCCATGCGCAAGGATGACACATAAAATCTATCAAGTTTGCAGATCAAATGAAAAACAGTGATGTCTGTGTTCTGGGTTATTTTGTATTATAAGATTGTTATAAGTGGACTGGCATTCCAAAGTAGGATGGTTCCTGAAGTTTATTGTCAGGAAGTTTCAGAGGGTTTAATTTTTGTTGTTGCTGTTATGATGGTGCTGGCTTCCCCATCCTAGAAAGCTATCTTTAAAAAAAATTGGGGGGCTCCTGGATGGCTCAGTCAGTTAAGCCTCTGCCTTCGGCTCAGGTCATGATCCCAGAGTCTTAGGATTGAGTTCTGCATCAGGCTCCCTGCTCAGCCAGGAGCCTGCCTCTCCCTCTCCTCTGCCCCTCCCTCCTTGTGCATGCTTGCTCTCGCTCCTTCTCTCAAATAAATTTTTTTTTTTAAGTTTGGGTGTGTGTGTGTGTGTGTGTGTGTGTGTGTGTGTGTGTGTGTGTTTAGATAAACCCTTGCTGTTATCCTGAAGCAAAGCGGTCCTTTCAAGAAGTAGGTCCGTGGCAGATCAATACCAGCAGTTTGCAGCATCTTCTTTTTTCTACTTTCAGTTTGGACTGTTATTTGAGTTCCATTTGTCCATGACATTTTTACTGTGTGTGGTAAATCTCTTCCAATTGGCATTCTTAGAATATATCTCCTTATACTTCAACTACAATTGATCTTAAAGAAACTATCTTTCTCCTTGAAGAACCCCTCCCCTATCCCTCTCAGCTCCCTAGACTGATTTTGTGTATGCCACGTAGGCTATATGGAAACTGAGATAAGTGGGCCCTGAAAATTTGGAGATAATTCATCCACCTGGTTTCATGTGTTATAAAGTAAAAGGATAGAAGCTTAATTTTATTTACAGTGATTAAGTGAAACACATCCATGCTCATATATAAGGCAGCTAGAGGTATATTGACTGTTTTCATCCTACAGAATACAATCCTCACCACTATCACATAGGTGGGATTCCTATACCCTTGCTAAGTATCACCATTTATATAGAAGGAGTAACTCTTGCTTTGCTTGGCTTTACTCTAGGCCTCCCTGCATCATTACCACTGACTTTTTTTTTTTTTAACCACTGACTTCTTTAGACTCCTTTTTCTATGCTTTAGCAGAACCTATAGTCTCAAAACTTCTAGTCTGTTATCCCCTCTTTTTTATCTCACATTATCATTTTTGCAGCAGTTGACAGTCGGGCTCTTTATGCTTTTCCATAAAAGGAAAGTTTATGCTTTCCTTTAAGCCTCTGACTGAATGCATAGAAACTCTATCCCAATTGGAACTGTTTTCAACATAATACTGTATCATTACCATGCTTAATAGATAAATGCATTCAACAAATATTTATTGGGCTTTCATTATGTGCCAGCCCCTAGCCTCAGTTTTTAAAGGCTATATTGATTTTTTAATTCCCTCAAATCATAAGTTTAAAAATTGGGTTGCTTGATCCTAATTAATAAGGTGATCAATAAATCTCACTTGAAAAGAAATGCTCTCTTAAATCTATAACTGGTGGCCATCCATTTGATGAGCACATATTAAACACCACTTGTGTATCAGGCCTTGTGTTTATTTCTGATAGCTGGACATTAAAATGAATCTTGATACTTTCTAGGACATTGCTTTTGAGTTTAGCAAAACTGAAGAATTTCTAAACTACCATTTAATTTTGTTTGTACTCAGAAGTTGTATTTGGTATTTTAACAGAGAGATCGTGATCTGGAGCTAGCTGCTCGAATTGGACAAGCTCTCTTAAAACGGAATCATGTCTTGTCTGAGCAGAATGAAGCTCTGGAGGAGCAACTGGGACAAGCCTTTGATCAAGTAAGTCAGTGGTCAAGTATTTGTAGCATGAAATAATTAGTTCTTGGTCAACGAAGAAATTTTTTTTTTCCGGGTGCCCCTGAAATAACAGGTAGCTAAATAACACCAGTACTTGTTGACTTTGTTGGCAACCATCGAACTAACCAGTAGAGAAATGAAATGTTATTGTACAGAGGAGTGCTCATGTGACTCTACCTTAGTCAATATAACAGGCTATGTTCAGTACCTACGAAACTAACACCATGCTTAGATTCTAACACTTTCTTCTCCTCCCTTTACGTAGACTTCCTTGGGATCTTATCTTAAATTTGTTTTGAAAAAATAACCCTAAATAATAGATACCTAGATGAAGTATCTTTATTCAAAAACCCAAACAAAAGGAAAAGGAAATTTTTGAAAATGTATTTATTTCATGCAATAAATATTTTTAGAGAAAACTGATTTATTATTAACCTGAATGGTTACATTTAAAATTTGCTGTTTGGTATTATCTGGTTTCATTTTTATTTTATAAATGCATTGTGTTTAATAACATTTGTGAAAATATTTATTTTACAAAACTAAAGTTAGAAAGTCATGCAGAGTTATATTTAACTTAAAAGCTTAAAAATATGAGCCTTTATTCAGGATGAGACTTTGAAGGAGAGGTCTCTACTGACAGTTTGAAGGTTCTTCAGTTTTGCTTTGTTTTTACATATGAATGCATCATTATCTTACATGAAATTTTCTTCCTACATTCTTATTATATAGAATATAAAAATTGGCTTTTCACCTAGTATTGAAAGAGCTACATTTGTTAACACTAACATTATGTCTTACGTATCTGAGGTTTGTTATTCTCTTTTTAACACTTGTAACCTTAATAAAATCTAGCAGCTAGTTTTATGATTTTATTTTATGGTGAGAAACGATTGCTCCATGAATTAAAAGCAATATTATATGTAAATAATGCAAAATAAGAACATCTTATAAATCAAGCCCTTTGGTTGCAGGTTAATCAACTGCAGCATGAGCTGTCCAAGAAAGATGAATTACTTCGAATTGTCTCCATTGCTTCTGAAGAGAGTGAAACTGATTCCAGCTGTTCTACACCTCTTCGGTTCAATGAGTCCTTTAGCTTATCTCAAGGTTTGCTACAGTTGGACATGCTGCAAGAAAAACTCAAGGAACTGGAAGAGGAGAATATGGCCCTTCGATCCAAGGTACATTCAACCTGATTCCCACTTTCCTTTTACCTTAAAGGCCACAGATTTAGATCCATGTAGTATTGAGGTAAAATATGGCATAATAAGTATTTACTATTGATATTCCAACAAGGGGGTGACAGCCAAGGCATGTGTATTTGCCTTCCATTGTCCCTTAGATCCCATTCATTAACAAATAGATAATAGCAAGCTGATAGATGAAATAGAGAGTCACAACATGGAATATATATCTTTTTTTTTGAATATATATCTTATGGCGTTTACACAAATAATTAAATGATTAAAACTATGATAAGAACTGTGTTGGAAAATTACAGGGTTTCTGGAACTTACATATGGGGGAGAATCAAAGTCCTACTTAAGTAAATGACATTTTATCCGAGCCTAGGATTAGCGAGTCAGAAAAGTAAGGGGGAGGGGAACCATGTGAGGGTGGGGGATGGAGGCATGTATAAAGGCCCTGAGAGGAATGAGGGGGAGATGTTTGTTATATCCTGTCGCATATCTATTTTAGATAAAGCTTTTTGGATTTTATGTTTCCTTTTTAACTGATGGACTTTTATCTTCAATTGAGCATTGAACGTTTTTAAGTGAATACTGTAAAGTCATTGGAAGATGTTATCACAGACTGATTTTTTTTTTCTTAAAGGCTTGTCACATAAAGACAGAAACTATTACCTATGAAGAGAAGGAACAACAGCTTGTCAATGACTGTGTTAAAGAACTTCGTATGTATTAACACATTTTATTTCATAGTTTTTGGACAGTTCTCTGGTGACATTATCACCAACTCAGAAAGTAAATCAGTGGTTTCAGTAGAGACATCTCAAGAAACAATTTTAAGTAGTTATTGAAAATCTTGGAATATCACATTGAGCCCACAACTCTAAACAAAATACCATATGTACTTTCAAGAAGTATCTTTATTACAAATTGCCATCATCATTTAAGACCTAGTTTTCTTATCAGTTTTAGCACATGAAAGGAAATGAAGCTTTCAATGAGTATTAAGTGCAGTTGTATGCTCTGTAACAGCCTATTTTGGTGTGATATTGTTAATTTAAAATAATTTTTAAAAATAAATCAGAAAAAGGCTTTACTGGAGGAAGATACTTAATTTCTCTATAAATATATAACCTTTTATGTTGAAAGAGAAGATACGAAACATCATACCAATTCATCTGGGCTATGGGTGTCAGAATATGATAGCTTAGCTACTGAAATAAAATTAGTTCAATGTTAGAGTACCAGAAGGAATGTCACTTGAACCTTCTCCATCAGAAGTTCATTACACACCTCTTAGACTTTTAAAAACAAAAGAGGAAATGACTTGCCCAAAAGCTTAGATCCCAGTCTCCTAGCTTCTTATTGCCATCCTTTGAAATGTTATAGAGCTTCTGTCAATTTTAAAATAGTTTCATCTAACACTGAGAAATAGTTCTGCCATTTGTGTTTGATGTCAGAGTTTTAAATGCAAGATTTACTTCATGGAATTCTAAAGTTTCTATTCCATATGCATGTAAGAATGCTAGGCTCTAAGGATTGCATCAGAGGCCTTACTCAGTTTGCAAGGTATCCCAGAAAGTCTCTTATGCAGAACCATTTCCACAGCTTTAACAGATTGTGACTGTTTATTTGGAAATGTACGTTTGTTGTTTAATTTTCATTGCTTGCGGGGTACTATTGATGCCCCTGAAGGGTTTTCAGAGACATAAATGAGATGTTGTTAGAATTTGCAAACATATGCAATTCGCCTTCTTGTCCTGCATAAAGAAAAAGATTGAGGCAAAACTTCTAGCTTGCTTGCCTTACAGGTCACCTCTCAGCATTAGCCTATTTCAGAAGAATCTTTATTTTCCTCTACTCAGTTATTTGGGTTTATTTTTCAAATTTATGTTAAAAATCTCTTCATGATATAGTCCCCTGCTTGTTACAAAATAGGACTTAGCCTATAGGAAATAGTTTGTCAAACCCTACTCTACATTTTTATTAATTTTTAAATTTCTCTTTTGTTTCCCAGGTGAAACCAATGCTCAGATGTCCAGAATGACTGAAGAATTGTCTGGGAAGAGTGATGAACTGATTCGGTACCAAGAAGAGATCTCTTCTCTCTTGTCTCAAATTGTGGATCTTCAGCACAAAGTTAAAGAAGTAAGTTCATTCATTCATTCATTCATTCATTCATTCATTCAGCAGATGTTTCTTAAGCACTGCCCTAGTACCATACACTCTGCAAAGTGCTAGATACCTTAAACAGAGCAAGCATGGTCCCTACCCCTTTACCGTGCTTTAGCCTGACTGCTGGTATGGTCTTTCTCTGTCATGAAATATGAATAACTTCTTTCAAGTTACTATTTGTCCCTCTGTCAAATGGGGTTAGATTTTTCTTAGAAAACTAGATATAAACTGGTGACTTATGCTCATTGACCTCTGAACACCTTAATAGCTTTTGTATTCTGCCCTTTAATTGCTCTTATTTGGCTTTTGAAGGATTAGCTTTTTATAAGCCTCTAGACCATACTCCTGAGAGACACTCTTAAGATGTCTTTAAAAAGGGAAAGTAGCCCATATTTTATATGGGAAGGCTCATTTTTTTTTTAAATATGTTGTTAGCATGTGATTGAGAAGGAGGAACTGAGACTTCACCTACAAGCTTCCAAAGATGCCCAAAGACAACTGACAATGGAGGTAATCAAATTTTCCTTTATCTTGTGTAATGTTGGGGGGGAGAGAGGATGAATAGTTTCATCTTCATGAGTAAGAATGATTAAAAGTTATTACCAGATTTTAAATAACAATGAAAGAATAATATTAAATTATGAGATCAAAGAAGTAAAGCAATTTAAAGATTCTGTCCCTAAAACTAATAACATGACATCTTTCTTGATTAATAGGGAAAACCTTGTCTTTTATAAGATTTTTTAAGAATATGTGACCCTTTTACCAGTCTATGTAACCCAACAGTTTTTAAAAATAATTTCTAATAATAGGTGTTTTTGCAGCTATGGCGGGAGAAACACCAAGAATCTTTTACTTTCTATCTATATACAAATTCTGTTTATTAGATATAATAGTAGTTCCCTAGCAGACATAATAATCACCTGGCAAAATGAGTTATAAATGGATATTCCTATGCACCATCCCTAAAAGTTTCCAATAGAGTAGGTCTACAGTAAGGGTCTAGAATCTGCATGATCCAGTCCACATACCACTTAAAAAATTTTTGAAATTAAAATGAACTCTGAAAATTATAGGGCAGGGCAGCCCGGGTGGCTCAGCGGTTTAGAGCCTGCCTTCGGGCTAGAGCGTGATCCTGGGGACCTGGGATCAAGTCCCACATCAGGCTCCCTGCATGGAGCCTGCTTCTCCCTCTGCCTATGTCTCTGCCTCCCTCTCTCTCTGTGTCTTTCATGAATAAATAAATATAATCTTTTTTTTAAAAAAATTATATACTCTTTTGCCGTACTTACATACCTAACTATATAAAGAAGATACTGAAACAAGGGAGGAGAAACTACTTGTTTAGGATGATTGAGCACCCTGGCAACATATATAGTACTTTGTAGACTTGATATTTTCATTTACAGACTTCAGAGTGATGTTTAAAAATATGCACATCTAACATGCTAGACCTAACTTGACCCACAGCTATTACTCTACCTCTGTAATTATTTTAAGATTTTATTGATTGATTGATTGATTGATTGATTTGGGAGAGAGAGCGAGCATGAGCAGGGGGAAGGGCAGAAGGAGAAGCAGACTTCCTGCTGAGGAGGGCTCAATCCCAGGAACCCCAATCTTGACCTGAGGTGAAGGCAGATGCCTGACTGAGCCACCCAGGTGCCCCACCTCTGTAAGTTTTTTTTAAGGGTATGAAACATTAAATATTGAATTAATGGTTACAATTACTTCAGCTACATTTCAGATTTTTAGGTAATCAAGTTTATGTGTAATTCTGACCAAAACATCCCTAGTTCTGGTGACTTAAAAATTGATAGATATATATAGATATATACTCTCCCTGCCTAGTTTGTTTTAGAGCTTTTCTGTTGAAAGTATATTCATGAAGTTATCTAGCCCTCTGGATAAAATTAATACTTATCCCGATGGGGTTTATTTTCCCCATTGTCATTTTGAGAATATAACTAATTATCATCCTTTTTTTTCAGCTGCATGAGTTACAAGACAGGAATATGGAATGTCTGGGAATGTTGCATGAATCTCAAGAAGAAATAAAGGAACTTCGAAGTAGATCTGGCCCTTCTGCTCATCTTTACCTTTCACAGTCATATGGAGCTTTTTCTGGGGTGAGTTTTTCTGGAAAATCTATCACTTGTTTAAGGAAACTTGCTTTAGATTGTTCTGAGAGTGATATGATTTCTGGTGGTGTAAAGTATCTTGAGAAGAGTTAGCATGGTTTGTCCTTGTTTCTGGAATTCATTTATTGATTTAGGCCTTGATTTACATATTTACCTCTATCTTAATACTCTTATTTACTGCAACCTTTCTTGTAACAGATGACCTTCCAGGTTTATTGTTAATATATGAGATGAACCCTAAGGAAATTAGGTTCAGGCCTATATACCATAGAGCTGCTTAATAAACTTGGGTAAGCATCCTTACCCTAGGCCCACCACATGCTACTTAATTCAAATAGAACTCTGAACATCTAAAACCTCTTTCAACAGATTGTGAGTTTCTTGATATATTTAATTCCACCTAGAGTATAAGTGCCATGAGAGCAGGATTCATGCTTGTGTAATTCATCAATATATAGTATTTTTTGAATTAAAGAAATTAGTGAAAACTTGTGAGTTTATGCCAGAATTTGTAATATTGGTTCAAAGAATTATTTTATTTTATTTTATTTTATTTTATTTTATTTCTAAGATTTTATTTATTTATTCATAGAGACAGAGAGAGGCAGAGACACAGGCAGAGGGAGAAGCAGGCATCATACAGAGAGCCTGACGTGGGACTCGATCCAGGGTCTCCAGGATCATGCCCTGGGCTGTAGGCGGCACTAAACCGCTGCGCCACTGGGGCTGCCCCTCAAAGAATTATTTTAACAATCTGGTTCATAAGTACTTATAAGCAATTCTGTGAAATTTTTAAAAGACAAACTATAAATTATAGTAGATTTTTTTGAAAAGCATGGGAGCAGGATTTTTGTATTTTAACTTTTTATTTTGAAATAATTTTAAACTTAGGGTAATATTGCAACAATAGTACAAAAACTCTCATATATTCTTCACCTATATTCATCAGTTTTTAACATTTAATTACATTGGCCATATCATTCTTTTGTTTTTTTTCTGGACCATTTCACAATAAGTTACAGATATACCCTATTAACTTCTACTACTTCAGTGTATATCTACCAAAAATAAGAACTCTCTATTTAACCACACTAGAACCATCAAAGTCATCAAAGTCAGGAAATTATCATATATATACTATACTGTCTCATCCACAGAGCTCATTTAAATTTTGCCACTTGTCCCAACCATGTCCTTTGAAGGATATATTGCATTTGGTTGTTTGCTTGCCTTTCATGACCTTTGTAGAATGTCCTCAATTTGGGTTTATCTGATGTTTCCTCAGGATTAGATTCAGGCAGTGTATTTTTGTCAGAAATAATGCCATGTTCTTCTCAGTACACTGGAACAGGAGGCTCACATTGTTATTTATCCCTTTACTGATGATGTTAATTAACTTTGATCACTAGGTTACAGTATATCTGCCAACTTTTCCCACTCTAAAGTTAATCAGTGTTGATAATTAAATTAATGTTACTAATTAATTTTGCAATGATGAAAATTGGCAGATGCTTCCTTAGACAAGTGGTCCAAGTTACTATTTTGTGGAAAGATACTATACTTTGAGACTATTTAAATATCCTGTTTTTCTTAGCAAACTTTTATCCACTAGTTTTAACATTCCATAATGGTTCATATTTGGCTCATTTATTACTATGAGGATTGCCAAATGGTGATTTTCTAATTCCATAATTTTTTCAACATTTATTAATTGACATTGTTTTGTCAGAGCCTTTCTGCTTCATTCATTCACTCATTCATTCATTCACCCATTCATTGATTTATTGAAGGGCAGGCAGGGTAGAGAGGGAGAATCTTTAGCAGACTCCACAGCCAGCATGAAGCCTGACACGGAGCTTGATCTCACAACCCTGAGATTGTAACCTGAGTCAAAATCAAGAGTCAGGTACATAACCAACTTAGCCACCAAGAAGCCCCATTTCTGCCTCATTTTAGTCAGTGGATTATAATACATTATTACTATTTTATATTTTGATACTTAAATTGTACCAGATATGGCCAGTGGGATCTCCTCCAAACTCCTCTTGGCTCTTCCTGTCCCAGTCCTGGAATCAGCCGTTTCTCCAGGGAGGCCTGGTTAGTTTTAATGAGGAATGATACTTAGAATTCCAGACTTGGGTCCCGTATATCCATTGCCACTAGAGTGTTGTTTCATCTAGGCACTCTCAGCAGATAGAGCTAGAAGATATGTGTGTGTTCATACATACACCCACTCAAACACATCAATATCTATGTTTCCGTCCAAATTTATGTTAATCTCTATATATATATATTTAAAAATATGAGTTCACACCAGTACCTCCAATTCTAGTCATTGTCTGCTCAGCTTCACTGAGCATGGCACCCATGCTAGATTAAATCCTCATCTCTGACTGGGGAAAATGGAAACCTGCTTACTTTTCCTTTAATGATTTTTCTATATTATAAAAGCTATATGTATTTATTTGTAGAAGAGTTAGAAATTAAAAGAAGCAAAAAGAAATTATGAAATACCATCAGATCCTGACCTTGAGAGAATTATTATTGGCATCTTGGTTTATAGCCTTTCAGACCTTTTGTTTTTTGTGTCTCCATATGTAATAGTTTCTATTTATCATGTTGGTTTTTTCCACTGTTCTGTGAAATATATCATGATAAAAAAAATTGGTTCTTGTTAAAAGTTAGATTTCCAGAATATCTCTTTTTTTCCTTGCATTTTGGCCTGTGACAGTTTTCTTGTGTTTTCTTTTATTATAACACCAAAAGTACTGGATTCTGGAGACTCAATTAATTTAAGGATAATTCATTTCTTCTAACAGGCTTCTTTAACATAATCAGTATAGGAATCTCAAATTCTTTTTCTTAGGAATCTCTGGCAGCTGAGATTGAGGGGACCATGCGTAAAAAGTTGAGTTTGGATGAGGAATCTTCTCTCTTTAAACAAAAGTAAGTACAAATCACATGTATTATTACCCAAGCATTGGGATGAAATTTTTAAAAAGCTACAACCCTAAGTGATAGGTATTTTGAGATTCAGTTGTAAATCTGCTTAGTATTCAGGTTTTTTTTCATAGTGCTCACATTTGTAAGAGCACTCACTTGTTCTGAAGTTTATTTTCTAATAATTTCTCCTAAACTTTAGAGGATAGTCAAAGTGGCTTTATTTATTTTATTTTTTTTTAAAGATTTTATTTATTGGGATCCCTGGGTGACTCAGCAGTTAAGTGCCTGCCTTCAGCACTTTAAAAAAAAAAAAGATTTTATTTATTTATTCATGAAAGACACAGAGTGAGAGAGAGAGAGAGAGAGAGAGAGAGAGAGAGAGAGGCAGACATAGGCAGAGGGAGAAGCAGGCTCCATGCACCGGGAGCCCGACGTGGGATTCGATCCCGGATCTCCAGGATCGCGCCCTGGGCCAAAGGCAGGCGCTAAACCGCTGCTATTTTTTAATAAATTGTACATATGTGTCTCTTCTAAAGCACTCCAGTGGTAGGCAGTGCAATAATGAACATTTCTTTTTTGACAGAGCCCAACAGAAACGAATATTTGATACTGTCAAGGTTGCCAATGACACACGGGGCCGCTCTATCCCGTTCCCAGCTCTGCTACCTATTCCTGGGTCCAACCGTTCAAGTGTCATCATGACAGCAAAACCTTTTGAGTCTGGTTTACAACAAACAGAGGAAAAAACACTCCTGAATCAGGGGAGCAACTCAGAAGAGGTTTCAGAGTAAGAAACATAGATCATGGCAGTGATTCTATATTTTGTATGGTATTAACATACCAGATTCACATACTTATATTCTAACTATTGTTCTGTGCCATTCCAAGGAAGTTCTGGAACTGTCAGTTTTCATTCAGTAATGATGCTCTATAGCATTATTTGTAAGATAGATCATTGACTTTATAAAAGTTTTTAGAGTGAAAAGGCTATATTTAATTAAGTGTATTCAAAATGGAACTTGCACTGACCTATAAAATTCTTTACTACTTCTTTAGTATGGTAAAGTTTGTGTCTAAATCTTTATGGTCTAAGTCAAATTTGTTTGAATCTGTTGGGTCATTGGCAGTTATACATAGCATCAGATAACACTTTCTCATAACCCATGTTCATAATCTCAACTGCTTTGGTACCTTTAGGATAAATGGTAAACTTGAATACCTATTGAGAAAAAGTAAGTTGCTCTTAACTTCATATTTGTTTAAATTTATATTTTTTTTCCAGTTTTCTTTAATTCATCTTACTGAATTACATATAACTAGAGTTAAACAGCATTACTGGAAAGTCAGCTGAAGGGATCCCTGGGTGGCGCAGCGGTTTGGTGCCTGCCTTTGGCCCAGGGCGCGATCCTGGAGACCTGGGATCGAATTCCACATCAGGCTCCCGGTGCATGGAGCCTGCTTCTCCCTCTGCCTATGTCTCTGCCTCTCTCTCTCTCTCTCTCTCTCTCTGTGACTGACATAAATAAATAAAAAATTTAAAAAAAAAAAAAGGAAAGTCAGCTGAAGACTTTTGAAAGGTAAATGTTTGGCATCTGAGAGGAATCTTTCCTAATGCAGAAATCTATCCTAGAACATACCAAATATCCAATAAGTATTAGCTATTATCAATGGTAGTAGTGGTGGTGTTCTTACCATTAGTGAACACTAATTGTGGACTAGGAGCTAAATCTTGTTAATCCTGTTAACACCAACCCTGTAGTGTAGGTACTATATCTTCTCAATTTATAGTTGAGGAAAGTGAGGCTTAAATCATTCTGTAGCTTGCCCATGGTCACTCCACAGGAGGGTATTGTCACATTTCTGTAAACTACAGAATTGGTGCATGGATGCAATTTGTTTGGTTCAAAAATAAAAATTTTTGTGTTTCTAAAAAGGAAAAAACAAAGAAAGAAAAGGATCTATCACCCTGGGTTTTCTGTTGTATTTGAATTTGCACCCATAGTAGCTTTCTGTGTCATTACTATGTCATTGTACACAATTACTGTAGACGAAGATCAACAAACAGATCTTTTTGAATTCACATACAGTAGCCAGGAGCAGCTACAGCTAGCTTGACTTGCTGCTCTTTCTTTTGATATCAATCGAAGAAACCTCCCAATTTCAAAAATACTGAAAAGTGAACAAGTGTGTTCACAGGACTATGAAAATGTAGTATTTACAAATCTTGGGGTTTTATATGTATATGGTGTGTGTGTGTGTGTGTGTGTGTGTGTTCTACAATATTCATAGAGGATTCCATGGCACAAAGCAAATTATTTCACATTTTAATATTTTTGAAATAATTTATGTTTTGTAGTTAATGGCATATCATAATTTAATGGGTAGCATTTTTATTTTCTTCCTTAGTAGCACATAAAATAAAATAATAATACCTCTTGCAATCAATTGGTATTACAGATTCAGTGCTATATGACAACATTTATTTTTCTGGCTACTTAAATTCAATTTATAGATAGTCATATCTGTAGTTTCATAAACTGACTACACTTACCATGGTGAGCATAGAGTAATGTTTATTAGTTCTCAAATCAGTATGTTGTATACCTGAAACTAATATAACATCGTATGTTAATTATACTTCACTATAAAAATTAACTGAAATAGAAAAATTAGTAAACATAAGTATATTTTTGCTTGTCTGAAGTTGCTTGAAATGAGTAAAAAATGATGTATAGTATTAGTGATATTGTTCTTATTTCTGTATTCTTGATATCTAAGAAAAAACTATGATTTTAAGATCAGTCTCTTGAACATTCACCATTGTAGAAAAGAGAAGTCTAGGTTGTGTTTATTGCCCTTACAGATCTAGTCAGTGAATGATTTTCCCGTAGGAACGTTCAGAAGGTGAGTCAAGCAGGACCTTCTGGAGATAGTGATTTGGCTACAGCACTGCATCGCCTTAGTCTGCGGCGACAGAACTACTTAAGTGAGAAGCAGTTCTTTGCTGAAGAATGGGAGCGGAAGATCCAGGTTCTGGCTGACCAGAAAGAAGGGATTAGTGGCTGTGGCACCCCCACAGAGAGCCTTGCTTCTCTCTGCACCGACCAGTCAGAGATCACAGACCTCAGCAGTGCCACTTGCCTTCGAGGTTTTATGCCTGAAAAATTACAGATTGTCAAGCCCCTTGAAGGTAATAAATCAGTAAGGGCCATTCTTAAGCCATGTTGCTCATTTTAGCCTTTCCTTTTCCTGGAATTGAACTTTGTATTATAAGAGGGCTATGTGCAGGAGATACCTTTATTATCCCTAAACCTCATTTGTATGACAGTCTGTTATAGTACTTTGTGGAAAAAGAGTGAAGAGATCTGCATTCTCCAAGTCATCAGCCATCAGTATTTTTTTTTAATATAAATGTGAGGGAAGAGGAACATCTTTTCTTGTCCTTAGCTAAGAAATATCATCAACAGCAGTTTTCATGGTAAAATAAATGGAATAATGATAGATAAATTAAAAAAAATAATATGGATGTAATGCTTCATCTCTACCTTTCTTTTCAAAAAAGACTTCTTTACCAGGAAGTGTCATTTACTTAGAGGTATGTGTGTCTGGGTTGGGTTTTTTGTTGTTGTTGTGTTTTTTGTTGTTGTTGTTTCTTTCCCCCCAAGGTAGAACTTGAATTTAAAATAAACTTATTTTATGGAATATTGATTACCTTGAAATGATTCTGTTATTATCATAAAAGAGTCTACATATAGTAGTCAAAATTTTGAGTAGGTAATATAGAAGGACCCTTCAAACTCAAGGGTTATACAAGTTAGTTTCATTCATTAATGATCAGTGCAGGTATTTGTCAGAGTTGCCCCCTTTAGGGTGAAATGTCTGTAGTGACATAATTAGATATTGCATCTGGTGCGGGTGCTTGGGATGTGGTCATTCACCATGATTCTTAGACAGAAACCATGGGGATATATCCTCCTTTTAGCATCTCCTTCATGTTCCTATTCTCCCTGAAGAGCCTAGGGAAAGGAGAGTCATGAGCATAGGGAAGAATAGATGTCCTTTGTAAACTTTACTTTTGAAACAGAAAGATTATCATTCATACCTTTAACATCTTGTCAGTCTTCCACAAAGAACTTTATAATATTTTACCAAAATATTAAGACTAAGTAATTTTATCCTTATTTTTTTACACATATAGTCCTTTTATTATTATCCTTACTTTTTTATACATATAATTTTAGCCTCTGTTTCAAAATTGAATATTTGTGGGAAATTTAAAATATGCTTTATGGGTTTTGTTTTGTTTTTGGTCTTGCACATTCAGGATCACAAACTTTGCACCACTGGCAGCAGCTTGCTCAACCAAATTTAGGAACCATTCTTGACCCACGACCAGGTGTCATCACTAAAGGCTTTACCCAGTTGCCCAGAGATGCCATCTATCACCTCTCGGATTTAGAAGAGGATGAAGAGGAAGGTATCACTTTTCAAGTGGAACAGAAACCTTCAGTATCCAAGCCAGTAACAGGAATTTTCCTTCCAGCTATTACTTCAGCTAGTGGTCCAGTTACAGGTAAGAACAGTGCTTAGTGGAGTGTAGTCTAGTAATTCTGTATTCTGACTTACAGTATGGCAACTTGACAGCCTCCTTTTAAATTTAACTTGAATGTACTCAGTCCTGAGTTGAAGAAAATTAGTATCTGTGGTGACAGTGGTTCGTAAGCCTTTTGGGCTCAGGATCTTTTTATACCCTTAAAAATCATTGAGAATCCCAGACAGCTTGTCTTGGTGGGTTATATCTATTGCTATTTACCATATTAGAAATCAAAACTGAGAAATTATCAAAATATTTATAAACTCATTTAAAAATAATTACATGCTAACACTATGTTTTATGAAAAATAGCTATTTAAGTAATGAATAGAATGGTTTTGTTTTTATAATTTGCAAGTCTCTCACTTAAGGCTTAAGAGAAGATGGCTGGATTTTCATATAGCTTCTACATTCAGTCTATTATAATACGGTTTTTTGTCTGAAGAGTATGAAGAAAATGCAGGTTCACACAGGTGTGTAGTTGTAAAAGGAGAGAGTATTTTAATAGCCTCTTCAGGTATTTGTGGATAATTCTTTGATATTATACCAAAACTTGATAAGTGGTAGCTTCTTTAAGCTTTATAGAGCAATAAGGAATCCAAACCTATCAGTGAACTTGTCATACTTAGTTACAAAATGTTTTGGTCTATTTACACTTTGAATGCATCTTTTACCCAAGCATGATTTTGTAACATCATGCACTGGTCATTTGGAAAATAGTGGTTCACTGAGTAATGCATATCTTCGAAATGTTAACATATTTCATTGTATAATATATTAAAATTACATTAATATCACCATGTATCTCATCAGTTAAGTCTTTTTAGTATTAGAAAGCTTTAAAGCTCTCAAGGGTGGGTATGAGTTCTCCAAAACTCTAATTTTCATTTGAAAGATCAAATTTTGTCACTGACAGCAAATCTTGTAAGCTATTTTTGTTGAAGAGATAGGCTCACTACCTTCATTTCCAAGAAAATTTCTGCCAGATAGCCAAGTCTGAATAACTGTAATTTGTTAGTTGTTCTTTCAAGTAAAAATGGTGTTCCATGAAAAAATTTCACTCAGTTGCCCATGTGCTTTTCCTTTAGATAACCATTGTGTCTTGGCATGCAGCAGAATACTTAATGCTTACTTCCCATTTAACCACACAGAATATTAAAATATAGAGTCAGGATTTAATAAGTAGCTTTTACTGCTTCATCAAGGACATCCTTATGTGAATCCGGCTTTTTTTTTTTTCTTTTTCTTTTCTTTTTTTACTATTGTGGGTGGACAACAGTGAGGAATATTAGCATTGCTTGATATAGCTTATAGATTTTTGCTAAGGAGTCAGCAGTTTTGCTCATCATTGGTTTTGCACCAGCAGTGCAAATGCCAACCCAGTCAAAAAAGCAAATAGCATCTTGGCATTGCTATAAAAGTAATTTTGACCTATAACCTATGGATTCCCACAAGATCTGCAAACCACACTTTGAAAACCATTGAAGTAGATAGTTTGGCTAGAAACAAGATCTAGAAGACTAGATCTTGTGTGGGGGTGTTTGTATTTTTTCAGAATATATATTTCTCTTATTTCTAAGCTATTTTTAATCCTTTTGAATTATAATTTTAAAGTATTGAAGGATTCAGCTCTATACTAGCCAGTTGATACTAATATGATATTTATGTATATTTCATTTCCATATTTGGTGATTTTTGTGCAAGAGAACCTTGACTAATGCTTAATTAATAGTGATGAATGTTTTGCATTATTAACCTAGTCTTTCAATTTTGTTTGATTCCATTAAAATCTCTACTTCAGTTGCAACCTCAAACCCAGGCAAATGTCTGTCATGCACAAACTCGACATTCACCTTCACCACCTGTAGGATATTGCATCCTTCTGATATCACTCAGGTTACCCCCAGGTAAGGGGTCTGGGCAATTTGAGGCCTAAAGCTTCATTCCTTAACTATGTTTTCATGAATTTATTTTAAAAATTACTTATTTTAACTCCCAGAATGTTAATTAATGTCTTTAGGATATTTTGTCTTTAGGATATCTTCACATTGTATTTCTCCTTTGATCATTTTAACTCTTTGAAGTTGGCAGGGCAAGTGAGTATGTATTGTGTAAGTAAAAAACTAAGGCATAGATAGTTTAGGTAACTGGTCCAAAGGCAGAGAAGTAACAAATGACCCAGCTGCTCTATACCCAGAGTAAGCTAAACTACAAGATCTGGGGGACCAGTCCTCAGCACAAGACTGCCCTCACTGGAGGTTCCCAAAACCACTCTCTGGTTTGATAATTTGCTAGAAAGATTCACAGAACTCACCAAAAGCTATTAGGCTCATGATTGCTGTTTATTACAAGGAATGGATACAGGTTAAAATTAGTCAAAGGAAGAGACATAGGTCAGAGGTCTGGGGAGGGTTCCACATGAAAAGTTTTCCTTGTCCTTAGTATTTAATACTTTCCTAGCATTGTTGTGTGATGGCACATGCAGAGTATTGCCCACTAGGGAAGCTCATGCAAGCCTCAGTGTCCAGATTTTTTAGTGAAGTTTCAGTGCATAGTCATGATTGATTGATTTATCACCCACATTAGTTGAGCTCACCTCCAGGTTCACTAACCTAAAGGCCCTAGCCTAAATCACATGAGTTGTCCTCTCTGGCATAGCTAACCTTCATCCTAAAACTATTGGGTATAGCCAGACTTACCTAGTATGGCCAGCCTTCATCCTAAACAAAGACACATCCTAAACAAACATGTCAAACATGGCATAGATTACCTCCCAGCAGCTGAGGACAAAGGCCAGAACCCTCTGGGCAAGGCCAAAGTATTCACTACACAATCTAGAACATGCATATTCTAACACATAGGTGAGGGTTCTTATTAAGCCACATTGCTGCTATTTCTGTCCTACCACTTCCCAAAAGAATCTAAGGTAGTTTTCAAAAGTACTTAGAGCATTGAGATAATGTTAACTACAAGTAGAAAAGGAAAATGAAGCATATGAAGGGAGAGTAAGGATATAAAATAGAAAAAAACAAGTATGCAAATACTTGTTATCTTTCTAGCTGCCAGTGTGGAGGGAAATAAGACCATAATTCAATGTATATAAGAGCAAATCAATTATTTAGGGAAGCATTTACATTTCATCCAATAAAGATCTCCATAAAGTCTGTGATGAGCACGCATATCTGCAATTTTTCTACATTGTTCTTATAGTCAGTAAGATAACAAGTTTTATAAAATGGGTTCTTGGGAGGATTCTCAGTACAAGATAATACCATCATATGAGGTGTACAGTTTGAGAGAAAGGACAGGCAGTTCTATGGTAAAGTAGAACCAGGGAGGTGGGAAACTGGGAGAATAGTCTATAGACTGCATCCAATTAGAGGTTCTTGGTTGGACTTGTATAACCAAGGAGTCAAACTTGTTTGTAGTTTCTTTCTTTCATACCAGTTGGTACTTTAGAAAGTTTGTTTATTAACAGATGATTAGTTTTAATGATAACTTTATAATCACTAAGAATTTTGTTATCTGAGTATTTTGGTAAAGTGATAGTTTATCTATTAAATACTGGTAACATTTTCTCAAGGGAGGGAAATTAGCTAAGGAAGTCCCTTCATTCTGTCACCATTTCCTTGAGTACACAATTTCTTAGGGTTTTTTTTTTCTTTCTAAAAAATTTCTAAGAAATTTCCAATAGTTGTCAAAGCTTTTAATTATTTTTGTTTTCCCAGAAACACATGTTCAAAGTCAAGGTTAAGAAAAATTTGTTTCGTAGGTCTCCTTATACTACTATTGTTTGGAATTAACATTCTTGAAAATGGAAGTTTAACAATTTCAACTTTTGAGAGTTCTTAGAAATATAAAATTGTAAGATTAAAAGAAGAAAATTCTCCTTAGAAGAGCATCTTAGGTTTAATATAAAAGATTGTATTTTCTAAAACGTTGGACAATTATTTACTCTTGGGTTGTTTCACTCTGGTGTATTTCACTATATGGAATGAATATATAAAAATTTCTGAAGGTTACTGTCTTTAATTTCTATCATAAAATTTAGTTGTATTCCCAAAGATACATATTTTGAGTTAAAATTTAGGAATAAAGTTATCTAAGAGTAAACTTTTTCATATCCTATGAAAAGGAGTATGTTTCAATGAGTTAGTAACTTAGTTACAAATTGCAATTAACCAGTCATTCAAGTAACATATCAAAATTCTTAATCTTCAGATCTTTCTACAGAGTTCAATTACTGATGTATTGCCTCTTATTCTATATTTACTACAGATAACTAATGTAATTACTTTAAATGCTGACTTGTAAATTACTTTTTATTTTTAAACACTCTCCTGTTCTTTCTTTGTTTCTTTTTTTCTTTCTCTCTCTCTCTCTCTCTCTCTCTCTCTCTCTCTCTCTTTCATTTTTCTTTTTTTCAAAGCTCTGGGTTCCCTTCATTATCCTGTGGAAGTAGTGGTAGCAGTTCATCAAACACGGCGGTGAATTCTCCTGCTATGTCCTATAGACTCAGCATTGGTGAATCTGTTACCAATCGACGAGATTCCACTATAACCTTCAGTAGCACCATGAGCTTGGCCAAACTTCTACAAGAGCGCGGCATTTCTGCTAAAGTGTATCACAGCCCGGTTTCAGAGAACCCCCTTCTCCAGCCTATCCCTAAAGCCCTGGCTATTCCTTCCACACCACCGAATTCACCATCTCACTCACCTTGCCCTTCTCCTTTGCCCTTTGAGCCTCGAGTGCATCTCTCCGAAAATTTTTTGGCCTCTCGACCAGCAGAAACATTCCTCCAGGAGATGTATGGTTTAAGACCTACACGGAACCCTCCTGACATTGGCCAGTTGAAGATGAACTTAGTGGACAGGCTGAAGCGACTGGGGATAGCCAGAGTGATCAAGACCCCTGATGCACAGGAAAATGGAAGAAGCCAAGAAGCAGAGGTTGGTCTTCAAAGACCAGACTCTGCTGTTTACTTAAATTCAGGTAGCAATTTATTGAGTGGACTGAGGAGGAATCAGAGTCTTCCAGTCATGATGGGTAGCTTTGGCACCCCAGTTTGCACAACTTCACCGAAAATGGATATCCTGAAGGAAAACTGAGGTTCAGCAGTTAAGTGGCCTCTTAAATTAGCACATGAAGGATAGATTTGCACTGATACATGTAGTGTGGTCTGACTGAGAGACAAGGAATGTTGTAGACGGGTTGTGAATGTGGAAAGGGGAAAGTGGAAGAATGGAAACAGAATTGGGATGAGGCTCCAATGAATAAGGTTTAATAAATTGAAAGTATAAATGAATGGGTCATGAGTGTTTGGAGGCAGAAAAGGAAGAAAGGTTTAATTCACTCATTCAGTTGAGTGTTCCTATCTTGAGAATAAAAAGTGACTGGACAATAAATTCAGTAATATCGAAATATACCAGATATACTGAACCTGCTAGCATATTTACTTCTAGTAAGCGAAAGCAGGAAGAACCCAGGTTAGGGGATGGGAAGAGAAAGAGAGCAGCTTTGACCATTGCCTATAAAAAGCAGAGCTGCTGGGCTAAGCCCAGTCTGTTACTGAGACAAATGAGATAGTTTTTATGTTTTACCCTGATAATAATGTCTGTTTATTTTTTTTAATAATGTCTGTTTAAATTACATATCCATCAAATGGTATGTACACAGCATTAGCAAATAAGGAATTTTATCTTTTTCATAAAATCAAAATAGTGGAAACTCCCTTTTTGTTTTCTGTTTTCAAGCCTTTGAGCCAGTAGGGGCCCAGACACCACCCAAATTCCTTTTGTATTTGTGATTAATAAAAGTTCATTTTTAAATTTGTATTTTTATACAATACCTCCAAAAAAATACAACATGAATTGGAGGCAGGGGGTCGGGTAGGAAGGATTTACTTTAAGAAGGAAAATATGGGTAGGTTGGAACCAAGGAAACTTGTTTTCAGAATATATCTTTTAGATAAGTATAGTGGCCAAGGCTTATGAACACAATTACTTGTCTTTCAAATTTCCTTGGAGGCTGGAAGGGGTTAAACCAGAAGTGCAATCAGTAGGAATTAGGGAATGTTGTGTATTTATGTCTGTATGTTGTTTTGTAAGGAAAGTTAGTTGCAACTAAACTTTTTCCAAAGTGCTATGCATATTTTTCATTGAAGATGACATGTATTTGCACAAAAATTCTCAGGCTTATTAAATTATTATAAGCTAAAGTAAAACCCAGGTGCTTGCTTTGAGTTTGTGGTTTTTTTAAATGTCACTGCCTTTTTCTTGATGTATACAGAATTAGAGAATGAACTTTTTGATGGGAAAATGGGAAAGTCAAAGCTTTTGCTTTTTTCCTGGGATTCCTTTTTTTTTTTTTTTTTTTTTTTACAAATTCTGTGAAATGGCAAAGTGAAACTCATGGATTAGGTTTCAGCATTCAGCAGTGTGACGCAAGGCTGTGAATTGGGAGGAAACAGATCTGTTCTGCCAAGTGTTGCTGAACAAGGTCTGTTCTTCATGAAATGACATGGCTTTCTCTACACAGGACAGTTCAGAAAAAAATGCCAGTATATGAAAGGGATGATGGAGAAGAGATGAGGGAGGAAGATAATTACTTTTTTTTTTTTTACTTTTTTTTTTTTAATGGGAGGCATATTACATGATCTTTTTGGAGCTTAATTTTCAAGTGTTTTGCTCCTTTCTTCTGACTTAACTGAAAGGCAATTTTCTGAAGAATTCTTGATAAGAGTCTTGCTCCTTTGATTCCCATTGATGTACCTGTTCTGATGGCTGAAGAGGGTCCTTCCTTTCCCCTCTACGGTGCCTCTCCTATACGAAGAGCTATGTGTCAAAAGGTAGAAAAACCAACATGCATGCAGTAGTAAGAATGTGTGAGTATACCATGCTTTTTAGAACCTTAATAAAACTTTTCTAATTTCTTAAAAACAAAAAAAGTGATAGTGTCTTCTCCCCTTCTGTCAGTCATGCTGAAGTCAGTGGACCTCACACATAACATGTTCAGAAAGGATTCCAGCAGGTCCATAAGTGAATGTAAGTGTCCCTGAATGTGGTAGGCACTAATCAGAAGAATTCTTTGTTTAAAGATGTTGAAATTTCCAGAATATTCCCAACTCACTTTTTAAAAAATGGTATCTGAGTTTCTACTTTCTTAAGTAACTCTGGGGTGCTTATTTTAGCCGATTCTTAAAGCTTTTTATTTATTCTCTAAGAAGGTAATCTTCCTGTTGCCAGTTTCCAAGAAACATCAAGAAGTAGGAAAATACAAGGCCAGAGAGTGTAGTACAAAGTGTTAAATTATCAGATTTGTGTATCTTATATAAATAGCTATGAACTAAGCTAGATTTTGGAGTGTTCCATACAATTAGTATACTTTTTAAAATAACTGATGCTAAAGTGATCATTTTGGAAGCAGGGTGAAGGCATATTCACAGCCAAATAAGCACATCTAATTAAAGAAAACCAGACTTAAGTTTTTGAAAATTAAATTGATGTTACTATTCCACCACAAACATAATGATTGTATACTGGTGTATTCTTGTCTCTAGAAATGAATCCGTTTTGAAATTGGGTTTTGCTATTTTTAAAGATGCCACCTAAAATCATTTTTGGTACAGCCTGAGAATCTCTATTCTAACAAAGCTGTGCAAAGTATAGTGAGAAGACCTGAAGCTTCGTAGTAAGTTTCTCCTCCGTTTATCTGTTATACTTTTTAGTCCTGTCGCATTTTAATTCTTCAGTATCAACTGTGTATGTACTTTTATGCCAGTATGGGAAACTCCAATCTTTTTTTTTCTCCTTCAGGAGGGTTCTCAGTGATTATACCTCAGGTATTTCTGAGTATCCTACTATCTATAGGAGGGATACCTTTGTGAGCTCAGAATGAAAAGTTTTCCTGAATTATGATGATCCCAAATCTTATGTAAATAGCCTTAGGCATGGGTCTTAGGGAGAATTTCATGACCATCGTTAAGTAGTTTTTTAAAAAGTTTTATACTTTATGTCCTTGATTTGACATGAATGAACAGAGTTTGGCAAAGGGAGGAAATAAAGAGACAGCTCACGACAAGAGCTGATTCTCTTTAAAGGGTTATTTTATACAGTATTCAAAGTCTGTTATTTTTTTCTGACCATTCTAGTACATAATTAGTACTCGTTGGTTACTAACACTGACTTTTGACATCTGGAACTAGAGCTCTCAAGTGCTTAATGGTCCACTGCTTTGATGTCAGATGCCCCCAGGCCTGTATCCAGTGCAGTGTGGACCCCACCGTGTCTACAACCAGGTGGTTTCACTGCAGAGCACGGCTGCCCAGGAGTGGTGTTTCAGGGGCCTCTGGTGCAGCCAGGGAAATACTGTTGTGTGGTATCTAGGGCTCGGCTTTGTCAAACAGCTTTCCGTGCACCTCCCTTTGCTTTGTCAAATGTAAATCAGATAATAAACATGATATCTTCTTAAGTGTTTATTTGCCTTTCTGTGTTTTTGTCCCAGTTCTTTTCATAGCTTATCCTGCATTGAGTCTTTCCTTTCCATTATGCTGGTTTTGGTAGAGAAAACAACCTTTACTTGCCAAACCAATACAAAACAAACCAACAGTACTAAAGAGATCTTATTGTATTTTCTGAGATATTTTTTAAAAACAGAATAAATGAAGTTGTCTATATTCGCCATATTGTCTCCTTAGTAAAATAAGAGCAACAAAAAAGTCATTGCAGAGCTTTAATTTGAAAAGACGGAGAAAATGTGAAGCATTTTTTCCCCTATAAATTATGATTTTTGGCAGTCTCCCCTTTGCTGTCCTGCCTGCCACAGCCTTGTGGTGTATTCAGTAAACTTCTATCTCTTTTGTTCAGCGTTGATGAATTCTTTCACCACCCATACCGCTGACCCTTACCGAATTGGAGTGCCCTGCATTTGGTGTCCTATATGGGGACTTATGCTGGCCTGGGACTCTTCCCAAATTCTCCAGGAATTTCTTGGGACTTTCCCTCAGGAGACTGACTGTAGTATTTGGGGAAACAGGATCCAAAGCCCCAGGAAAAACGGACTGAACTGCTCTTGTCTGAAAGAGTAAGGGATTTTTTCCTTCTTGCCCTTCAAAGGGACCCTTCCCTCCCTCTTCTCTTTTCAGCTCTTAACCCTAGGGCTCCTCGGACAACTGGCCATCTCTAGCCGGGGCAACTCTCTGATGTGGTCTAAAGCTCTAAAGGTGAACAGGCTGGATGCTGGTACCTCTGAGGACAAAGGATCCCTTTCCCCTCCTCTCCCACTCCATCTCCTCTGAGGTCTACATTCCCAATGTGCTGCTTTTGGAACTCCCTCCCTCCCCTTTTCCTTTGTTCCCATGGATCCAACTGCCATCTTGATCTACAGGCAAAACACCTTCCTATGCCTCTGAGTGGTGCATCCTTCCCCCTCCTTTTTTCTGACCCAGTCTGGCCACCTAGTGTCCAGCTTTCCCTGTTGAGAGGATACCCAGCAGGGATTGCTATTGCCATTTGCTGCAACCCTCTCCTTGGTGGGATGCTCCAGTAGAGTCAGTCACCCCATATGAACTCTAGTCCTTTTTCAGGTGGGACACCCTGACCAAAATTGCAACCACAAGTCGAAGCTCCATTCCCTTTAGTGGGATGCCCCTTTGGGAATCAGCAGCCCATCTTCCCCTCTATGGGACAAACCCCCTCTATTCCTTTGGACTCATCCTTGGACTATATTCTTTTTTTTTAAGATTTTATTTATTTATTCATAGAAACACAGAGGAGAGGGAAAGAGAGGTAGAGACACAGGCAGAGGGAGAAGCAGGTTCCATGCAGGGAGCCCGATGTGGGACTCGATCCCTGGTCTCCAGGATCACACTCCAGGCTGCAGGCAGTGCCAAACCGCTGCACCACTGGGACTGCCTGGACTATATTCTTTTTAAAATGGAACAAATGTGATGCCCAAGTCCTGAGAAAAATGTCTCTTTTTTAATGTAATGTTTCCTGGCTTCAGTACAAAGTCCCCAGATCAAGAGATATGGCCCTTTCATGGAAGCCTTTCTTACTATTTTCCAGCTTGACCTCTATTGCCAGAATTCCTCCAAATGGTCTGGAGTCCCATATGTGCAAGGCTTCATGGCATTGTCCCCAAATCTTGACCTCTTCAAAAACTGTAGAATGTATCTTGCTAGGTTTCATGGCCATCTGACCCTGCAGATAGCTATCAAGTCTGAAACTTTGAGGTTTTGCTGAGTTAAATGATAAGTTGGATTGAATTCATTGGGTATCTAAGTCATTTCCAAATAAGATGAAATCCTAAAGCATTGATTAATGAACATAGGCTTGTCTGCCTTTTTTTTTTTAATGATACTCAACATGGGAGGATTATGAGAATTTCTTTTTTTTAAGATTTTATTCATGAGAGACAGAGAGGCAGAGACACAGGCAGAGGGAGAAGCTGGCTCCATGCAGGAAGCCGATGTGGGACTCAATCCCGAGACCCCAGGGTCACGCCCTGGGCCAAAGGCAGGCACTAAACCACTGAGCCACCCAGGGATCCCCGGCTTGTCTGCTTTTGACTTCTTATTGCAGAGAAACTAAAAATACTTGGGTCTATTTGAAAACATGCTTTGTGCCTCGTTGAAAGATTGTACTATGAAAACTTAATGTTCTTAAAAATTATTAAATGTATTCATAAATTTGCCAATCTAAAGAATTTTGTAATAGTAGTTCACAACTACTTAGTTACTACTTAGTTTTCACTGGAAATAAAGGTTCTAGGAGTTAAAATTTTGCTATTTGTAATTAAGACTGATGGAAACAATAAGGAAAAGGAGGGGCAAGATGGCGGAAGAGCAGGGTCCCCAAATCACCTGTCCCCACCAAATTACCTAGATAACCTTCAAACCATCCTGAAAATCTACGAATTCGGCCTGAGATGTAAAGAGAGACCAGCTGGAACGCTACAGTGAGAAGAGTCCGCGCTTCTATCAAGGTAGGAAGACGGGGAAAAAGAGATAAAGGAACAAAAGGCCTCCGAGGGGGAGGGGCCCCGCGAGGAGCCGGGCTGAGGCCGGGGCGAGTGTCCCCAGGACAGGAGAGCCCCGTCCCGGAGGAGCAGGAGCTGCACCAACCTTCCCGGGCGGAAAGGGGCTCGCAGGGAGTTGGAGCAGGACCCAGGAGGGCGGGGATGCCCTCGGGCTCCCTGGGACACTAACAGACACCTGCGAGCGCAGGAGAGTGCCCGAGCTCCCTAAGGGCTGCAGCGCGCACGGAGGGACCGACCAGAGCAGCTCGGAGGGGCTCGGGAGCGGCTCCAGGGAGGGGGCTGCGGGGCGGGAGCGCGAATCCCACAGCGCAGGCCCCGGAGCACAGGGCGCCGGGACACAGCCCAGGATCCGGCCTCCCCCGGGACAGGCAGAGGCCGGGAGGGCCCAGGACAGCGAGGACGCTCCTGCCCCGAGCTGAGCAGATCAGCGGCCCCGCCCCGGAGCCTCCAGGCCCTGCAGACGGAGAACCGAGAGCCCGGAGCCCCGTAGTTCCTGCGGAGGCTGAATCCAGGCTTCCAGAGTTGCCATAGCAACTGCTGCTGTTCCTCCTGGGGCCCCACGGGGTAAACAACCCCCGCTGAGCCCTGCAGCAGGCAGGGGCAGAGCAGCTCCCCCAAGTGCTAACACCTGAAAATCAGCACAGCAGGCCCCTCCCCCAGAAGACCAGCTGGACGGACCAGTGATACTCCCCCGTGTTCCAATACAACTTGTTTTTGACCACTCTGCACTGAGCAAAATGACTAGAAGGAAAACCTCACCTCAAAAGAAAGAATCAGAAACAGCCCTCTCTCCCACAGAGTTACAAAATCTGGATTACACTTCAATGTCAGAAAGCCAATTCAGAAGCACTATTCTACAGCTACTGGTGGCTCTAGAAAAAAGCATTAAGGACTCACGAGACTTCATGACTGCAGAATTTAGATCCAATCAGGCAGAAATTAAAAATCAATTGAATGAGATGCAAACCAAACAAGAAGTCCTAACGACGAGGGTTAACGAGGTGGAAGAACGAGTGAGTGACATAGAAGACAAGTTAATGGCAAAGAGGGAAACTGAGGAAAAAAGAGACAATCAATTAAGGGACCATGAAGACAGATTAAGGCAAATAAATGACAGTCTGAGGAAGAAAAACCTACGTTTAATTGGGGTTCCCGAGGGCGCCGAAAGGGACAGAGGGCCAGAATATGTATTTGAACAAATCCTAGCTGAAAACTTTCCCAATCTGGGAAGGGAAACAGGCATTCAGATCCAGGAAATAGAGAGATCCCCCCCTAAAATCAATAAAAAACCGTTCAACACCTCGACATTTAATAGTGAAGCTTGCAAATTCCAAAGATAAAGAGAAGATCCTTAAAGCAGCAAGAGACAAGAAGTCCCTGACTTTCATGGGGAGGAATATTAGGGTAACAGCAGACCTCTCCACAGAGACGTGGCAGGCCAGAAAGGGCTGGCAGGATGTATTCAGGGTCCTAAATGAGAAGAACATGCAACCAAGAATACTTTATCCAGCAAGGCTCTCATTCAAAATGGAAGGAGAGATAAAGAGCTTCCAAGACAGGCAGGAACTGAAAGAATATGTGACCTCCAAACCAGCTCTGCAAGAAATTTTAAGGGGGACTCTTAAAACTCCCCTTTAAGAAGAAGTTCAAGTAACTCTGAACGTGAATGGGCTTAATGACCCCATCAAAAGGCGCAGAGTTTCAGACTGGATAAAAAAACAGGACCCATCTATTTGCTGTCTACAAGAGACTCATTTTAGACAGAAGGACACCTACAACCTGAAAATAAAAGGTTGGAGAACCATTTACCATTCAAATGGTTCTCAAAATATACCCTAAAAACTACAGAACACTTCTGAAAGAAATTGAGGAAGACACAAAGAGATGGAAAAATATTCCATGCTCATGGATTGGCAGAATTAATATTGTGAAAATGTCAATGTTACCCAGGGCAATTTACACGTATAATGCAATCCCTATCAAAATACCATGGACTTTCTTCAGAGACTTAGAACAAATTATTTTAAGATTTGTGTGGAATCAGAAAAGACCCCAAACAGCCAGGGGAATTTTAAAAAAGAAAACATATCTGGGGGCATCACAATGCCAGATTTCAGGTTGTACTACAAAGCTGTGTTCATCAAGACAGTGTGGTACTGGCACAAAAACAGACATATAGATCAATGGAACAGAACAGAGAACCCAGAAGTGGACCCTGAACTTTATGGTCAACTAATATACGATAAAGGAGGAAAGACGATCCACTGGAAGAAAGACAGTCTCTTCAATAAATGGTGCTGGGAAAATTGGACATCCACATGCAGAAGAATGAAACTGGACCACTCTCTTGCACCATACACAAAGATAAACTCAAAATAGATGAAAGATCTAAATGTGAGACAAGATTCCATCAAAATCCCAGAGGAGAACTCAGGCA